TGCCTTTGTCAATATGAACCTCTAGAATCTTCTCTTGAACTATCTGCCTTCCATTGCAGCTTTTACATTTGTCTTTAGGACTGATCCGCTCCCCATGGCCCTGGCACTCCATGCACACAGACTGAATTTGCTGAACCATTCCACGTCCTATCTGATGAATTCTTACTTGCATTCCAGTACCTCCGCAATTGGGACAGCACTCTACTGCTCCTTTCTTACCTCCTCTACCTTCGCATTTGTCACAAATCACATTCTTTTGCAGAGCCAGTTTTCTTGTTGCACCATTATATAAGTCTTCTAGGGTTACTGAGAGCTGATATACAACATTTTTACCTCTCCTTTCTCTCTGTGTCCTTCCTCCTCTTCCAAAAAATATACCAAAGATGTCCATGGGGGAGCCAAAACCGCCACCTGCTCCACTCTCTTTAATTACCCATTCATCTCCTTTGTCATATAATTCCCTTTTCTTTGCATCAGAGAGAACTTCATAAGCTTGAGAAATCTGTTTAATTTCTCTCTGTCATTTGGATTCTTATCAGGATGGTACTTCAAGGCCAGTTCCCTATAAGCCTTTTTCAATTCTTCCTGAGTAGCATTGGGTTTGACCCCCCCCAAAACATTGTAGTAAATGGTTTCTTTCACCATCTTCTACTGCCGGTGAGCGGGCTGAGGCCAGTGCAGAAAGCAGCGTGGCAGCTACTGCTCCTCTGCCTCTCACCGAGCGTTCTGGAAAGTTCCTCCCAAAATTCCTTTTTTTTTAAAAAAAAAAAGAAAGAAGCTTGTGTTGAAAGCATACATTATTTCTGGGCACAGTTGTCAGAATAAAATATTTATACAAAAAATAATTCATTGTTTATCTGAAATTCTTTTTTTTTTTTTTAAGACGGGGTTTCACCATGTTGGTCAGGCTGGTCTTGAACTCACAACCTCGGGTGATCTGCCCACCTTGGTCTCCCCCGTGCTTGGATTACTGGCATGAGCCACCATGCCTGGCCTTATCTGAAATTCTAATTTAACTGGGCACTCTGTATTTTTATTTACTAAATCCAACAACCTCTTTCTGGACCAATAACCCCACATAGAGGAGAGGATAGAAGATAGTGTCTAGGGGACATGCCTGCACCTAGGAGTCAGAAGAAACAGAAACCAAAGAAGGAGCCAGAGAGGGAGACAGAGGAGTTTGCAGAAATATGGAGGGAAAACCAGGTGAGTATGGTGCTCTAATGAGTAGTGACACAGGTGTGGGGGAGAGGTGGCTATCACGAGAGTGCTGGGTTAAGAAAGGCCTGATCGCTATAGTTTGGCCTTTCTGAGAAGTTCTAATGAGTGGTTCTCGATGAAGTTGGGGTAGAGATAAGGATACATATCAGAATCACCCAGAATATATCAAAATTGAAATCTATATACCAGAAGTAGTGCCCTTCCTCTAGAGGGTCAGGGAGGTCATGAGTATGTAACTCTTAGCAACCCAGAACTCAGGTGGTCCAGTTTTGGATCCATGTTATGTTTACTACGACAAAAAATAAATTTGGAAAAGAACATATAAATCTTTTCTTGTATTTTTCTTGAAAATCATGAAGGAAGTCTATAATTTGCAATAACAAATTCAGAAGTCCTTTTCATCTTCCTTCCACCTCCTTCACAGCCTCTGCTGTTGTCTGGTGTACTGCTTCCATTAATTTCCTCAGATTGCAGAAATCCCCTCCTCCCATCATTTATTTTTATCACATAAATCAACTTAGCCTGTCTTTCCAGCAAAAAGGTCCAATCAACTTCCCCAGCCCTGTCCCAAATGATCTGAAAGATGAAGCCTTTCAGAAGCAGAGAAGGGTGTGGAACTGAGCTGGCAATTACAGAACATTCTTTGGCAGTGTTCTCGGAAAGGGAAAAATATTGAATTTTCTTGCCCTGTCCTTGGTATTTTGTAAAGCTTTCCAAGTGACTTTGATATCTGGCCCTTTTTGAGAACTGCCGCTCTTAATCAAGACATAAAACTTTTTCATTTCTTGAAAAGTCCTATTTCTTGGCAAATTTCTCCCTGCAAAGTACATTCTTTTTTCTGCACTGACCCCAGAAAGAGGTGCCATTGTGTGGAAGTCAACATCTGTCATCTGCTCTACAAAGTTCACAAAGCACCATGCCCAGGAGCAGATAACTCAGAACATCTACCTGATTCTCCTAGTCAAGATTCCTGGTCTGACTAGGAATCTAAAACCGCAACCAGATGTCCCTGAAAAAAGATGCTGAGCTTGGAGCCGCCTTCCTATCTGGGATGAGCCTAAGGATGCTTCTTGGCTTCCGAAAAGCTGCCTTGGTGGTGATGCTGTGGCAACCACAGGGCAGATTCATAAGGAGCCAGCCTGGAAGACCTGAGCTCTGGAAGCGGGCAGCCAGCCCAGCAGGACATTTGTAGGGGTGGGGTGTGATCTTAACCTTCATTTAGCTGGCCTGGGAGTCCTCCAAGGGTCAGAGTCACACCACACTGGTCTGATCTCTCAAGTTTCCTTAGGACTCCAGGTGTTTTAAGAAGATTCTCTGACCCTCCACCCTTCCCACTTCACCCCTCAGCTCTCCCCATGGTTAAGAACCCAAGTGTGAACAACCCCAATGTTGGCAGTGAGTGAGGCCTTCAAGCAGAAGCCTAATCCTGCCCTTTTAAAAAAAATATTTTGGACTTAAGGGAGGCTGTCCTCAGCTGTTTCAAACCTATTTCAGAGTATCTCCACTCCTTCAAACCTATTTCAAAACTCAGGGAAATGTCGCCTTTCCAGACAAACTCTAGTGACAGCTCCATTTACCCCTTGGCATTTGACTGCTAAAGATCAGCTGACCCCTGCAGCCAGAAGGAGGAGAGAAGATTACTAAACGGGGACCTCATTCCCAGAGGTGATCACCTTTAAAAAGTCTGGGCCTTGTTTGCCAGCTTTGAAATCTCAAAGGGTTATCTTAGCTTCATGCCCCCAATGTGAATAAAACAAACAATATAAACCACCTATAAAATCTAAATTCAAACTTTCTTGTGACCTGTGCATCATTTTTTTGCATTCACATTCTCAGTCAAAACAACACACACACACACACACACACAGCAGATATATAACTATATGTAAATATCTATATATATAGAACCATGTCCTCTGAAGAATATAAATGTTAACACGTAAAATTATCACAAATTCCATAATTCCTTCTGCGACCTTAGTCCACATTAGGTTTTCCATTAAGAGACACTATTGTCGTCTGCAAGTAGCTTCTCCCATTGTGTTCTTCTGTGCAGCACAGGGGGCTGGAGCTGTGGATATTTATGAACCCCAGGCACCCACTTCCTGTCTTCGTGGCTGTCCCGTCCATGCCTCTGTGCCTTTTTCTCTGCCTTTGGCCACCAGATGGCGCTCTGGAAACGTTTTTTCTGCATCAAAGCTCCCCTGCATTCTCTTAACTAGGCTCTCTCCCTCTTCTCTGTTCCCTTCCAAGCCATTTTCCAGGGTACAGCCGAAGGGCCTCTCTGGAGGGCAAATCTGTGTGAACTCGGGCCAGTTACCTAATGCTCTGTGCTCAGCATCTTCAATGTGATGGCATGGCTGTGAGTGCCAGGAGTCGGCCTGCCCACCTCAGGGCCTTTGCTCATTTTGCTTCCGCCACTGGCTCTGCCTCTCCCCACCCATTCAGCTTCCTTGGGCTCACTCCTCCAGGTCCGTCAGGATTCAGCGCGCGCCCTCCATGCGGAGCCTCCTGGCCCCCCAGGCCTGATTCCAGAGCCACTCCACTGGACTCTCGCCTTTCATTTTCTCTGCCTTGCGACTGTCAGCCCCTTGTCTTGTTCACTGTGTGGCACATGGGGATGAATGGGGGCCTGACAGTGAGGCCATCATGTGGGCTAACAGCCAGCAGGGGCCAGTGAGCACCCTCGTGTCCCTGAGCTCCCAGGGGTTGCTTGGCTCCCCTGGAAGCTTAGGCAGCACCTTGCCTGCACCAAGCTGAGGGAGACCTGAGAATGGGATTCCTGCCAGAGGCCAAGAAAAAGTGAAGGCACAAATGCAAGGTCATCTTCACCATTTGCATATGAGGCATAAAGCCTGGAAGATAATAAAAGGCAAAATCATAGTCCCTATGTACTGAGTGCTTTCTCTGAGCCAGGCCCTGTGCTGAGTTCTTACTCTACCTCGTCAGATGGACAACAGCCCTTATAGAAGGAAACAGAGGCTCAGAGAGGTTCAGTTTCTTGTGCAATGTTTCAGAGCTTGTGAGTGGCCTGTCTCCGGAGCCATCCTGTAGGAGGTGGCCCATGGATTCAGGCCCCTTGCTACAGTTTAATGGGTTTCAGTGAAATAGTTGAGAAACCTCAGGAGTGGGATGTGGAGTTAGAGGAAAGAAAAGCCAGAGAGAAAGGGAGGAAGTGCAGGTGACTGTCCCTTAGCCACGCAAGTCTGATGGCCACAGGCCTCCATTTCAATAAGCCCTGACTGGGTCCTTATTGAACGTAGCACCTCTGGCCCCAAGGGCTTAGTAGCAAACACCCATCTAGGGAAGCTGGCCTTCATTCTCATCACCTCAAATGCTTCGCAAACCTCAGGGATCAACCTTGAGGTGGGTGTAAGACAGGGAGAATGTTGGGGGCAGAAAATTGAGGGGGGCAATGAGAAGCAATAAGGCCACCTCAAAGGCCACCTAAGCAAACTACACATTCACCTCCTTCCTTCCTGAGCTTCACTGTATGAAGAGGTGAGTGGGAGGGAGGGCATCCCTTAAAACATCTAAGAGGAGAGTTGGGGGCAGCAAAGGAGTTGTGCCTCACAGGACTCTTATAAACAAAACTGGGGAGAGAAGAATTGGAGGAAGGGGGAAAGACACAGATGAAAGGGAGGGGAAGGTGTGGGAGAGGGAAATGTATAAAACCTTCCAAGAGGAGTGGGAGGCGGGGGGTTCCCCAGACAGAGACTTAGGCTGGACCAGATGCAGAGAACAATGGACTTCAAGGCTGGGGGGTGGGGGGCACAGAAGGGAAGGGGGAGGAGAGCCACACAGTCAGATCACGCAGATTCTTGCAGCTTCTGGAATCGAGACCATGGGCACCTCTTAGGTCAGTGTGGGCAGGGAATGCCCCAGGGTCTATGCAAAATCCAGAGGTAGTCACAGGATGGGATAAGTTGTACAGATTACAACACTCACCCTTGCAATAACGTCACTGCCTGTGACTTGGGGCCAGGCCCAGGTCAAAGCCCTTCATGCATCATTTCATTTAATCCTCACAATTTGCTGCTGAAAGGGCAACTATTCTTATTCCCATCCCCACTCTACAGATGAGCTAATGGAGGCCCAGAGAGGTTAAGTGACTTGTCCCAGATGACATAGCTGGTAAAATTGCAAAGACAGAATTTGAACCCAGGCAGTTTAGCTCTGATGGCTCACTCTGTTAATCACAGCTGCTTTGCAGTGAGACAAAAATGAATGATCAGGGAAGAATCAACAGGGAGAGGTAAACAAGAGTGGGAAAAAGGCAAGAGTGAGAAGGAAATGAATGGGGAAAAGATAGGAACAAATAGAGATGGGGAAGGGGAGAGATGGGGAACCTGACTTGTCCAGGATGGGCATCAGTACACGTGCAGGCAGTTGGAGGCTCAAGTTTTCTGCTCACTTGTGATGCAAGCGGTTCCCTTTCCCTCAGCAGCCACCTTGCTGCACGGACAGCAGCGGCTTCCCATCTGGCCTGTCCTGGGAGCCCCAGCCTCATCCTCCTCAGTGGCAGGCCGCTCAGCTTCACAGGAAAGCTCTTTCTCTAATTGGCATTGAAACTCACAGCCCTCCCTTTTCCTGTAGGTGGGGTTTCCATAGGAAAAAGCTGCTTCTCTGTTTCCCCAGCCTAGCAACTGTTTGGAAGTTAGAGCCCCACATCCTGCTCAACTGGGTCAGGTCCCTCTTAGACCAGCTCTTTTCCATCATTTGCTGAAGTGGACCAACTAGTTCCCCTGTGGGGGGGTCTCCCCTGGCAATTCTTGATTGGTGTTCGGACATCTCAGATCGCTTCCGATGAAGATGGCCTTGCCTGGGGGTCCTGCTTGTTCCATTATCATCTAACTATGGGACAAGGTTGTGCCAGCCAGTCTGGGGGAAGGAGCACGGGGCTGATCAAGCCATTCAGGAAACACTGGAGGACTTGTCCAGCCTTGAAAGAACTCTAGCAGTTTCTGAATCTAGCGCTCTTGGCGGTAAGCATGATGCAACTTCTGCAACTTCTGCTGGGGCTTTTGGGACCAGGTGGCTACTTATTTCTTTCAGGGGATTGTCAGGAGGTGACCACTCTCACGGTGAAATACCAAGTGTCAGAGGAAGTGCCATCTGGCACAGTGATCGGGAAGCTGTCCCAGGAACTGGGCCGGGAGGAGGGGCAGAGGCAAGCAGGGGCTGCCTTCCAGGTGCTGCAGCTGCCTCAGGCACTCCCCATTCAGGTGGACTCTGAGGAAGGCTTACTCAGCACAGGCAGGCGGCTGGATCGAGAGCAGCTATGCCGACAGTGGGATCCCTGCCTGGTTTCCTTTGATGTGCTTGCCACAGGGGATTTGGCTCTGATCCATGTGGAGATCCAAGTGCTGGACATCAATGACCACCAGCCACAGTTTCCCAAAGGCGAGCAGGAGCTGGAAATCTCTGAGAGTGCCTCTCTCCGCACCCGGATCCCCCTGGACAGAGCTCTTGACCCAGACACTGGCCCCAACACCCTGCACTCCTACACTCTGTCTCCCAGCGATCACTTTGCCTTGGATGTCATCGTGGGGCCCGATGAGACCAAACATGCAGAACTCATAGTGGTGAAGGAGCTGGACAGAGAAATCCATTCATTTTTTGATCTGGTGTTAACTGCCTATGACAATGGGAACCCCCCCAAGTCAGGCACCAGCTTGATCAAGGTCAACGTCTTGGACTCCAATGACAATAGCCCTGTGTTTGCTGAGAGTTCACTGGCACTAGAAATCCAAGAAGATGCTGCCCCTGGTACTCTTCTCATAAAACTGACTGCCACAGACCCCGACCAAGGCCCCAATGGGGAGGTGGAGTTCTTCCTCAGTAAGCACATGCCTCCAGAGGTGCTGGACACATTCAGTATTGATGCCAAGACAGGCCAGATCATTCTGCGTCGACCTCTAGACTATGAGAAGAATCCTGCCTACGAGGTGGATGTCCAGGCAAGGGACCTGGGTCCCAATCCCATCCCAGCCCATTGCAAAGTTCTCATCAAGGTTCTGGACGTCAATGACAACATCCCAAGCATGCATGTCACATGGGCCTCCCAGCCATCACTGGTGTCGGAAGCTCTTCCCAAGGACAGTTTTATTGCTCTTGTCATGGCAGATGACTTGGACTCAGGAAACAATGGTTTGGTCCACTGTTGGCTGAGCCAAGAGCTGGGCCACTTCAGGCTGAAAAGAACTAATGGCAACACATACATGTTGCTAACCAACGCCACACTGGACAGAGAGCGGTGGCCCGAATATACCCTCACTCTGTTAGCCCAAGACCAAGGACTCCAGCCTTTATCAGCCAAGAAACAGCTCAGCATTCAGATCGGTGACGTCAATGACAATGCACCTGTGTTTGAGAAGAGCAGGTATGAAGTCTCCACACGGGAAAACAACCTACCCTCTCTTCACCTCATCACCATCAAGGCTCATGATGCAGACCTGGGCATTAATGGAAAAATCTCATACCGCATCCAGGACTCTCCAGTTGCTCACTTAGTAGCTATTGACTCCAACACAGGCGAGGTCACTGCTCAGAGGTCACTGAACTATGAAGAGATGACCGGCTTTGAGTTCCAGGTGATCGCAGAGGACAGCGGGCAACCCATGCTTGCATCCAGTGTCTCTGTGTGGGTCAGACTCTTGGATGCCAATGATAATGCCCCAGAGGTGGTCCAGCCTGTGCTCAATGATGGAATAGCCAGCCTCTCCGTGCTTGTGAACGCCTCCACAGGCCACCTACTGGTGCCCGTTGAGACTCCCAGTGGCTTGGGTCCAGCAGGCACTGACACACCTCCACTGGCCACTCACAGCTCCCGGCCATTCCTTTTGACAACCATTGTGGCAAGAGATGCAGACTCGGGAGCAAATGGAGAGCCCCTCTACAGCATCTGCAGTGGGAATGAAGCCTGCCTCTTTGTCCTCAACCCCTACACGGGGCAGCTATTCATCAACATCACCAATGCCAGCAGCCTCATCGGGAGTAAGTGGGAGCTGGAGATAGTGGTAGAGGACCAGGGAAACCCCCCCTTACAGACCCGAGCTCTGTTGAGGGTCATGTTTGTCACCAGTGTGGACCACCTGAGGGACTCGGCCCGCAAGCCTGGGGCCCTGAGCATGTCCATGCTGATGGTGATCTGCCTGGCTGTGCTGCTGGGCATCTTCGGGTTGATCCTGGTTTTGTTCATGTCCATCTGCCGGACAGAGAAGAAGGACAACAGGGCCTACAACTGTCGGGAGGCTGAGTCCACCTACCGCCAGCAGCCCAAGCGGCCCCAGAAGCATATTCAGAAGGCGGACATCCACCTCGTGCCTGTGCTCAGGGGTCAGGCAGATGAGCCTTGTGAAGTCGGGCAGTCCCACAAAGACTTGGACAAGGAGACAATAATGGAAGCAGGCTGGGACCCCTGTCTGCAGGCCCCCTTCCACCTCACCCCGACCCTGTATAGGACACTGCGTAATCAAGGCAACCAGGGAGCACCGACGGAGAGCCGAGAGGTACTGCAAGACACCGTCAACCTCCTTTTCAACCATCCCAGGCAGAGGAACGCCTCCCGGGAGAACTTGAACCTTCCTGAGTCCCAGCATACTACGGGCCAGCCACGTTCCAGGCCTCTGAAGGTGGCAGGCAGTCCCACAGGGAGGCTGGCTGGGGACCAGGGCAGCGAGGAGGCCCCACAGAGCCCACCAGCCTCCTCTGCAACCCTGAGGCGGCAGCGACATCTCAATGGCAAAGTGTCTCCTGAGAAAGAATCAGGGCCCCGTCAGATCCTGCGGAGCCTGGTCCGGCTGTCTGTGGCTGCCTTTGCTGAGCGGAACCCGGTGGAGGAGCTCACTGTGGATTCTCCTCCTGTTCAGGTACCTGGGACATGGGCAGCTCTTTCTCTGGTCACCCCTGGACCACCAGAAACAGCATCAGACACCCCCATAACCTGCACAGTCCTCATGTTTCTTTCTTAGGCTCACAAGGCACTTTCTGATGCTTTGGGTAGCAATGATTCAGGGCGCAGCTTTGGGATTGGCTGAACTTAGCTGTGTGATCCTAGGCAAATTCCTTACTGTCTCTGGGCCTTAGTTGTCTAATCTGTAAATTAGAAATGATTGTAAGAGTATATATCTTGTAGAGCTGTCCAGCCAATTTGATCGACTAATTCTTAGGAGGCATTTATGGTGCCTCGCAAGTAGACACATAGCAAAGGTAGTGATTAAGAGTATAAGCTTTGGGCAAGGTTACCAGGGTTCAAATCCTGGCTCTACTTCTTCCCAGCTCTGAACTACAGGGAAGTTAACTTCTCTGTTGAAGATGTCTTTGTTGACAGCACCCACCTTCTAAGTTTACCTGAAGATAAAATGAGTGAATGCTCTTAATGCCTGTAGAACAGCATCCATCTGACATGTAGTCAGAACTCAGCAAATTATTGCTATTACTTCCTCAAAGCACTTCTCCTTCTATACTCTTCACCTGCCCTCATCTCATCTGAGCAACCTCCCTATGAAGAAAGCCAGCACAGGCATCACTCCACCCAAGGTCAGGGGCTGCATATAATTTTTCTGAGACCCAAGAGCTTTCTGGCTGGGCCTGCAGGATAGGGCAGTGGAAATAACCTTAGCACTTTGCAGTTAGGCAGATAGAAGTCCAAATTTCAACACAGCCACTTAAGAGTGGGGCAACCTTGTTCATGTCCTTCAATGTCTGAGCCTCATTTTCCTCATCTATAACGTGGGGATTATGAGACCAAACTTACCCTGTGTCTACCTCCTTGGAGTGTGAGGGCTAAATGGGATGATGAGTGACAAAATGTCTAAGGACCCGGGCTTTTCTAGACACAAGCGGGAAACATTTCAGGGATGATGCCTGATCTCACACCCGTATCTGCTTCTGTGAACATCAGATATTTTTACTGTGCCAGGCTGCCAGTGCAAGGCACACTTCTGTTTGGCCAGGCCATCAGCTCCGGTTTCCTGTGAAGCAAAAACACAGTTTCCTTCCCTTACTCCCTCCTCAGGAAGCCACCTGGAGATGGCCCAGCTGTTCTCTTAGGAATCTTGCCCTGGGAGGGGTGCAGACCCAGAGGTTGCCAGAGCCAACCATTCATTTATCCTTCCATTCATCCACCATTGATCAGGTGCTTTTTGGATAAATTCTGTGCCGAACACTGTGCTGGCTGCTGGTGGACAGGTCAACAGAGAATAGGCATTATGGGTGACCCCACTGGGGTGATAGAAAGAAAGGTGCCCATTTGGGATCAACTTGAGGGTAAGAGGCAACTTGCTCAATGCTCGTATCTTTCCAGCAGCACAGTAGAGTCAGATGTGACTTTAATTTCCAGCCCTCCCACTAATGTCTGTGTAGCCCCTGTGAGCCTCCAGTTCCACCTCTGCAAAATGGCCATAATGGTATCTCTTCTCTTAGGCTGCTGTAAGAATTAAATGAGATTACATACCACTGGACCATTGTTGTTTATCATGAGATCCATTAATAAGCTCATTTAAACCTCATAACCCACCATATGACCTGGGTCTCATTAATATTCACTTTTTTTACTGTTGAGGAAACTGAGGCTCAGAGGGCTTAATTCATTCCTCAAGTCCACACTGATGGGAACTGGAGCAAGGGCAGATTTAGAATTTGAACCTGAGTCTGAGTGATTCAAGTCTGGGCTCTAACTGTGAAGTGACCCTAAATGACAGCGCTCAGCATAGGGCTTGGCATGTAGGGAGTCATATTATGAAATGCCAGCTGTCACTTGAACAAAAGGTGGCAGGTGTCTTAGGAAGGCTTCTGGGCCTGGGCTGCAAGGTGAGATCTGCCGAGGCAGGCAATGAGACCCAAGTCTCCCAAGTCACAGTGAAAGCCCTGTCCTGGCCATCTCTGCTTCCACTCCTCCTCTGAAGTTGGCACTTCCTACCTCAAGCTGCACAGAGGGGCACAGTGGACCTGCTAAGGGAGGAAGGGGGGTGGGCCCAGGAGGCAGAAGCAGTGTTTCTAGGAGTAACAACCCAAACTCCCTGCTTTTGCAGAGGATTTTTAACTTTTTCAAACCATGTAATCCTGACAACACTGTAAAGAAGGTTGTGTGAGTATTTCTAGCCCTACATTAGAGATGAAGAAACTGAGGTCTGAGGAGGTCTAAAAAAAACTGTCTAACACTATACAATAAGCTACAAATGGCCTTGAACTAGAACTCCGCCTCCCAGGACTTGATCTGTTGCCTCTCCCTCCCAATGCCCTGTAGGGTCTGACTCTGATATCTCACCCATCCCCTATCCGATTCTCCAGTCTTTCTGAAACTCCACCATCTCTTTCAGCCTTTCAGCACGCAGTGCTTCTTCCTGAAACCCCCTCACCCCTTGTCCAGACCCTTACTCTCTTTCCACTTGTCAAACTCTTGTGGAGCCTTTGGGTCTCACCAGAGGTGCCTGGCATGTAGTATGAACTCAGTCACATCTGTTAAAATAAATGAATAAACTTCCTCCTGTACCACCCCCCTGCTTCTTCCCTACTTCAAGTTGGGTTAGGGGCCTCCCCTCTGCTCCCACAGAGCCCCCACTCTTTCCCTATGCCCAGAGGCACCCTGTGGTAACCACTCTTGCTGCCCTGGTCTCCAGTCAGTCTCCCTGTGGCTGCCTGCACCCTACACATCCTGACCATGCTGAGGGCAGCAGCTGGGTCTCCTTCTCCTTCTTACTCCCATTGCAACCACCCTGGCTGGCACTTACTAAGTACTTGTTGAATGAATGAAAAGGTGAATAAATGAATGACTCAATGGCACCATTTTGCCTTCTCTACAACATAGTCTTACATCTGGTCCACAAAAATTGGCTGAATGTCCAAATACCGCTAAAGGGAAACAGCTCTTTAAAATAATCTTCATCAAAATAATAACAAATTCATGGTCAGGAAATGCCTTTTCATCTCTATCCCTCAGAGTCCACCAGGCATAGGTCATTCAGAGGAATGAGTATGAGGGGACGAGTCCAGAGGGTCCTCTTGCTCTTCTTCAGATACTCAGGTCCTAGGGTGACATGACAGAACAGGGAACCTGCCCGCCTAGGTCCCTGTCTCCGTCACTGGGCACCATCCCCCATCTGATCACACAAACATCTGAAGCCAGAGGAAAGACTATAAAAAGAAAGCACCGGCATTGAGGGAAACATCCGGCGAGGAAGTGTGCTGAGTCGGAATTGTGTGGAGTCAACAGATTTTTCCTGTCTTGTAGCAAATCTCCCAGCTGCTGTCCTTGCTGCATCAGGGCCAATTCCAGCCCAAACCAAACCACCGAGGAAATAAGTACTTGGCCAAGCCAGGCGGCAGCAGGTAAGCAGCACGTAGCCCACACAGGCATCTGAAGGCCCCCACCGGCTGCCCCTCATGTCTGTAGCCTCTCTGAGTGAGGAAGGGTGAGCACATCCCAGAAACCAGTCTCCTAGGAGGGTGCAGCAGACAGCATCCATCCTCCCACCCTTGGAGGCTTGGTCATGGGCAACTGTATTGATAGCAATTACAGGACTTAGAGTCACCAAGGAAATGACTTCATTCTGAGGCTGTATCTGTCTCCTGACTACAGAGGTGATGTAAATTGCCTTTGTATCTGTAACTTTCACCTTTCTTTCTCTTGACCCATAAACATAATATAAAGGCTCCCCACTAAAGAAATGGATGTGTGGGTGTGCCCCTTAGGGCAATCCTAGGATTGAAGAGACCTTAAGAGAACATCAAATCTAACTTCTTGTTAGAAATGGTGAAACTGAGGCTCTGATTAGTCTGATTTAACCCAGCTATGTAAACTTGAGCAAGTGAGATAATCTCTCAGGACCTCGGTTTCCTCATCTGTAAAATGGAAGCCATCCCACTTCCCTTGTGGTAATGGCAGAGCTCCTGACTCCTGCATCAGTGCTCTTGCCCTGACAACTTATAGCTTCTTTTTTATAAGGATGGTGAGAGGTAGTGGAGAGCAGGGGTGAGTCCACACACTCCAGAGTCACACTGGCCTGGATTTGAATTCTTGCTTTATCCCTTAATCCATGAGGAACTTGGGCAACCTGCCAAATCTTCACAAGTCTTGGTTTTCTCACTTGCATATTGGGGTGATAAAAGGGAACCCCTTACAGGTGTGGAAAGTTTGAATGAGACAGTGCATGCACCCTGCATCACATGAGGCCTGACTCAGACTCACTGCTCAATAAACATTAGTTGTCATTACCACCCACACACTTGCCACCTCCCTGCTCATTTCTTCACAGCAGCAGAAATGGCTACAGGGGAAAAAAACCAACAGAAAAAATTCCCATGCCTTAAAACCCTTCAGGGAGCCTTCACACCTGCTGGGATGAGGGTCCAGGCCTGTCCCCAAGTGTCTGGGAGGGATGGGCCAGGATGGAGACAGCAGGAGACTGGGGTGAAGAGAGCAGATTCCGAGCAGCTGTAGGCTGCCTCATTCCAGCTGTACCCGCCAGATCTGCTCTTCTGGCCTGGGATTTGGCCTAAAGTAGGAAGGAAGGAATGTTCAGTCACTCATTAAGTATTGACTCAGCACCTACTGTGTGCCAGGCCCTGTTCTGAGCATTGGTGAGGGAGCAGGGAATGAGACAGGCAAAATCCCGGCCTTGCTGGAGCTCCTCTCCTCTGGAGGGGTGGAAGGCTGCACTGGCTCCACTGAGCTTTCCGAAACTCCTCCTGTGTGCCAGGCAATGCATAGGCGTAGGAGGGGCAAAAAGAATGATAATATCAATGAACTCATATTCACTTCTGTCTGCTGAGAGCTTACAATGTGCCAGGCTCTGTGGTAGGTCCCTTTACCTACAATGTCTCATTTTACCCTCATAGCACCCCATGAGGTGGGTATTATTTATTATTCTCATTTTACAGATGAGGAAACAGAGTAAGAGGAGGGCTGGAATCTCATGATCCAGGTTGGTCTGACTCTAGAGGCCAGGCTATGTATCCATTTCCCTGTACGGGTAAATGAATGTAAATATGAATGGGCATAAATGAGTGAATCTATGTGGGAATTTCCCTACCCATGGACTGGTTGGTTTCTTTTGCAGAAGTGCAATCCCAGACACAGATGGCCTAAGTGTGAGGGCTGGAGGCCAGACAGACCCAGAACAGGAGGAAGGGCCTTTGGATCCTGAAGAGGACCTCTCTGTGAAGCAACTGCTAGAAGAAGAGCTGTCCAGTCTGCTGGACCCCAGCACAGGTAGGGACTCCCTAGAGTCACACTGACCCTGCTTCTGCCCCATGGTGTCCAGGCTTCAGAGTTCTGCTCCCAGCCACTGCAGGGAAAAACCATTCTGTTTCTTTGGAGGAACATCACCAACATTTTACTTCCCTTGCAGCCTCAGAAAGTATTTGTTTAAAGACCGGGTTCTACTTGAATTTTTTTTTTTTGAGACAGGGTCTCACGCTGTTACCCAGGCTGGAATACAGTGGTGAGATCACAGCTCACTGCAGCACTGACATCCTGGACTCAGGCAAGCCTCCCGTCTTAGCCTCCCTAGTAGCTGGGACCACAGGTGTGCACCACATCTGGCTAATTTTCTATTTTTTTTGTAGGGACAGGGTTTCACATGTTGCCCAGGCTGGTCTGTGACCCCTGGGCTCAAGCAATCTGCCCACCTCGGCCTCCCAAAGTGCTGGCATTAGAGGCATGAGCCACCTGTAATCAAAGCCAAAGTAGGCACCTGGTACTTTGATTATTCATTTTAAAAATCATTCTAAGAGTAGCAAACATGCTAGGCACTGGGGAAGCATCTTAGGTACATGATCTCATTTAAGCCTCCAACCAATCCCCACAGGTAGAGAATTATTACCTCGAATTTACAGATGAGCAAACTGAAGCTCAAAAAAATAAAGTAGCCTTCCCAGAGTTACCCAGCTCACCAGTGATTGAAGGGGAGCCAAAGCCTGAACCAGCCAGTCCTCTGCGGACTTCTTACCACTCATTTGCATTTGCTTGGTGTGTTTCAATATCCTTTCACCCTGGGAACCAAGTCAACTCTTTAATATGCTAACAATTGCAATTAAAACAAAAAGATTTTTTTTTTGACAGAGAAACAATTAGCTTTGACAATAAATACATACCATGAACTTGAATTTAGGAATCTGCTAGCACCCCCCGCCCCTGCTGTGGACATTGGCCAGCCTCCTTCGGCAACACACCCCATGGTGGCCCATCCCTGTGCTGCGGTTTTCTGTCTATGTAGTTAACACTGTTTCTCATGTGCTCCATCTGGCTGCAGACACACTGAAGGCACAGCAGGGACTTTCCCTTCCTTGGTTAAAAAAATATTGCTAACGCTTATTGGGCACTTTCTATGTGCTAGGCCATGTTGTAAGTATCTCATGAGAAAATCTTGTGAGATAGGGGCTATTCATTATCCTCACTTCATAAAGGAAAAATGTGAGGGTCAGGGGTGTTTAATAATTTGCCCAAGGTTGTGCAGCTCATGGATGGTTATTAACACAGGCAGTGTGGCTCTAAATTTTAGAGCTGTGTTGTTCAATGCAGTAGTCACTAGCCACATGTGGCTATTTAAATTTAAATGAATTAAAATTAAATAAAATGAAATATTCAGTTCCTCTGTCATACCAGCCACATTTCAAGTGCTCAATAGCTATGTATGGCTGGGGGATATAGCTTTGGATTCTATCTCTATTAGTCACTCTAGCTGGAACCTGTGGGCTCAGTTCCTGCATGGTCCTGCTTGCTCATAGCACAAAGTATACTGAACACAGGGGCACTGTAAGGAGTAGGGGGTAAGGAAGGAGGGAGGGGCAGAAAAGCCTTTGCTGCTCACAGGCTGGACTGCCACAGGGAGACTGGGATCTTGCTTCTCCAGATCTACTTCAGCTCTTGCTGCTTCAGATTCATATTGCCCCACTTGAGAATGTGACCATGACAATGATTTACTGATTGCATGAATTCACTGAATCTCACAGCAACTCCCTAAGATGAGGACTACTGTCTCATCACTTCCTAAGAGGAAATGGGAGCTTAGAGAGGTTAAGCCATTTTTCCAAAGGTCACACACACTGCTTCTAAGCGGCAAAGCTGGGAAACCAAACCTGGGTTGGCCCAGCACCCACCTGCAGCTAGAACTGGTGGGTGACGCTGGATGAATTCAGCATCGCTTTTCAGCTCTTCTCATATGCCCCAGTGATTTTTCTCATTCCAAGCTTTGCTCCTTCTGAAGCTCTCTGACCCATGTATAAGGAAAGGCCCGATCCTATAACACCAAGAGTTCCACCCAAACTTATGGCCTCAGAGTCTCAGGGAACTAAGGTTTACATTTCCCAAATGTTGAAGGTTAATATTTATTTTTGTTCAATTATTCAACAGACATTCACTAAGTCCCAGATATGGGGCTAAACCCAAGGATCCAGTAGGGCAGGAGCCCGACACTGTCTCCCAGCCTGCACAGTCCAGAATGCAAGACAGAGCTTCATTTATCAATACAAAAAATGACTAGCCATGCTTTGGAGTAACTTTTTCAAATTACATAAGTAGTATTTGGTTAATATAGAAAAATATAGATAAACAAAAAGAGAATAAATTGCTTCTGCCCAGGGGTAATTCCAGTTAACATTTTGACATATCTCCTTCCAGTCTTTTATTCTGTGCACAAATTTTAAAGTAACTCACCTTAGGCAAACATTAGATAAATGTTAAGTAGATGTGCTTTTTTTTAAAAGACACTGTTTCTTAACTACAAGACTTACAGTTTCTTTCCTCTGGCTTGGTCTCTACTATCAAGCCTAGGACTGGTTTCTTGAAACAGGATTTTCTGTTGAAGGGATGGGAAAGAAGTGTGATTGTACCATTGCAAACATAGGGGCCAGTTTTTTGAATTCCCAGCCACCAGACTGACTTGTCACTGCCACTACCCCAGTCCCTCTCCTGGGGCAGCCCTGGGACAGGCAGCCCCTCCTCAGCCTGACTCTAGGCCAGGGTTTCCTGCAGCTTGAGATGAAGATGTTGAGGAGGATTTGAGGATCTGGAACCAGGTGGTAACAGTGCAGACCTTAGGTAGCCTGGGAATTCCAGAGGCCCCAGCTGGGCACCTGGAGTATCCAGGGGGAGGAAGGGCCAGCTCTTCAGAGAGAGGGGAGGGTGGTCCCATCATAGGGAGCCTTCAAAGTCATCAGACCTGGCATTAAATTGAGGTTTGGTTGCCTAACAGATGTGTGACTTAACTTCTTTCAGCTTCAGTTTCCTCATCCATAAAATGAGGGTAATCATCAAAGGTTTGTGTGGAAGTTAAATGAAATAATCATGGAAATTGCTCATCACATAACATGCTAATATGTGCTCCCTATTATTACGGATGGGAACGAATGGCAGCGCCAAGTCAGGAACTCCAGCCTTAGCTAAGAAAAGTGATTTTTTCCCCATCCTCAGCTAGTGGAGCTCTGAAGGAGAAGTCACCCTGAGGGGTAAAAATCCTGGCTGAACTATAGAAAACACTGAGACCAGAAACACACCACAGCCCAGATTGGGAAATTCTGTAGAAAAAGGAAAATTTCTACTTCTAGGCCTTCTCCGTCTCCTGCCACTTCCTACTAGGTTCATGGGTGTGTCAGTCGACTGCTTTCCTACCCAGGGAGCTTCGCTGTCAGCGCCTCTTCCTTCCTGTCCCCCTCGGGCCACTCCGTCTGTCCCCTACCATTTCCCTTCCCTCCTTTGTCCACTGCCCTTGCCCTGCCCACTGCCCCACCCTCACTTGCCTGGCCCTTCCTGGAGCCTGGCCCTCACTGTGTCCCCTCCTCCCTCCACAGGTCTCGCGCTGGACCGCCTGAGCGCCCCTGACCCGGCCTGGATGGCGAGGCTCTCTTTGCCCCTCACCACCAACTACCGTGACAATGTGATCTCCCCGGACGCTGCAGCCATGGAGGAGCCAAGGACGTTCCAGACATTCGGCAAGGCGGAGGGACCGGAGCTGAGCCCAACAGGCACGAGGCTGGCCAGCACCTTTGTCTCAGAGATGAGCTCACTTTTGGAGATGCTGCTGGAACAGCGCTCCAGCATGCCCGTGGAGGCCGCCTCCGAAGTGCTGCGGCGGCTTTCGGTCTGCGGGAGGACCCTCAGTCTAGACTTGGCCACCAGTGCGGCCTCAGGCACAAAAGTGCAGGGGGACCCAGGTAGAAAGACGGGGACTGAGGGCAGGAGCAGAGGTGGTAGTAGCAGCAGCAGCAGCGGCAAGTACCTGTGAACATACCTTGGATGCTTCTGGATCCAAGAACCAGGGGCCTGAGGATTGGGGACATGAGATGGTTTCTAAAATCTTGGAACTCAGTAACTAGCGGTGGCCTGAGAACTTTAGGGTGACTGATGCTACCCCCACAGAGGAGGCAGTGGCTCCAGGACTAACATCTGACTGACCAAAGCAGCCCTTTGTAAGTGACTCTGAGTCTTTTGGAGGACAGGGACAGTTTGTGGCTAAGTGTTTGCTGGCAAAACATACATAGAGCACAAAGGGTCAGTCCTCTGCACAAAGGGTCAGTCCTCTGGCAGAACAGATGCCATGGAGTATCACTAGCAGGGAAGAAAGGCCTTCTTGGGTAGCAGGAGTCATGGAGCTGTACCCTGGGGGTGCCAGGCAATGCTCTCTGGCCTACCAATAAAGGAAAAACAGTGGCTCATTCTCCTGTTTGCACCTGTCACGATGGAGAAGGGAAGAGTAATACAGTGAGGGTTTTGTCATCCAATCCCTGGCAAGACTGTCACACTGGGCCTGGACAGGAGTGGGGCACCTTGGTACACAGTGACAGGTACACAAATAGCAGACACGTGCGCCCTTAACCCTGTTCCCCTGTCACTATGTTATCAACTAATCTGCTTCTCAGCTACAAAATTAGAGCTAAGAAAGCACAACTATTTAAAAAGCATTTACATGAGCCAGGCACCAGGCTTTACAATAGGATTTAATTTGATTTTCCAGCAATCCTGGGAGGGAGGCATTATTAACCCCATTTCACAGACATGAATATGGAGCTTGGCGAGGTCAAGTGGTTTTCCGAAGATCAAGCAGGGAGTAGAGGCAGAGCCAGGATTTGGACCCAGGCTGGCCCAACACCAAAACCCATGCCTTCAACCTTGATACCAGGCTGCCAACCAAGGAGAGGAAAAGCAAAGGCCCTGGAGGTGAGCTGTTGGCAGCAGTGATGCCCTAGCTCCCACCGGGAATACTGTTGAAACGAACATTTCCAAAGCTGGGAAGGCCTGCTCCTCTCTACACTTCCAAGCACAAGGCAGAAAGAACTTGGATCTGAACTGATGCAGGCCCCTGTCCTTTCCCACCAAGTAGCTCTTCAAGTGCAGAGGGCATCCTTCCCTATCCCATTTGTGGGTAAACCTTTCTCTGTCATTGCAGGTTCAGGCTGGTGAATTCAGGTCACAGAGGACACTGTGTGAACTGGGTCTATGAAATTGCACTGACAGCAGCCAGCCTTCCAGGGGATGGAGGAGTGAAGAAATAGCAGATATTTTCCCAAGGCTCAGCTTTATAATTTTCTTGGAAATTTCCAAGCAGTCAATCAGCTAGCTTCCAAACAGTGTGGGTCTCTCCTGGACACTGAAGGCAAAAGTTCCTCTATCTGCTCCTCTTTGTGTTCTTTCTTGGAGCTCAGTGCTCATGTTCACTGTTCACAGAAATGGGCCAATCATACTCCCAACTAGGGATAATGGGCATCATACATACTTGGAATACAGTGTGGTATCATTATTCCACTATTCAATTTTACGAATGAGAAAAATGAGGCTCCCCAAAGTTAAGAGCTTCAGGGGCAGAGTCTCTTGGTTTCTGCTCACCTCACTCTAGGCCAGAGTGATCTCCTTACAGAACCTGTTATTTTCAGGCCGGATCACAGAACTGTTGGGTTCTGTGGGCCAGTGAGAGAAGCTGGGGGAAACCAAGCAGGTAGGCAGGGTCTCCAGCCTGACCAGCCAGGTGCCTGCCACAAAGCAACGGTTGATGAATACCTGTTGAATGAATGTATGAATGAATAAATGTGTCAATAAATGCTTCAGAGGCCCCTTGTATCCATATTGGAGCTCCAGGTAGGACTTCATTAGAAAAAGATTCTGTTATATAAAAGCAAAGTCTGAGAATCAAAGTATTAGAGGAGACCATGCTGACCTCCCAGTTACCAGCAGATTTTCAGTGCGGAGCCGATGTTGGGAGGGTAGAGAGAAGACAGTGGGCACGGAAAGGTGACCTGAGGAAGCTGGAATTATAGCTGGCAACTGGATCACTAGATACTTGGGACCACTGTGCCATTCTAGTTCAAAAGCCCTAAATCTGTACTCCTTGGGCCCCCATATACTAGGTAAAACTTTGTGTTTAGGCATTTTTTAGGCATAAGATACAAATTTCTCATCAGATTCTCAAAGGAAACCTTGACCTTTAAAAGGTTATGCAAAATTGCTTTAAGATACTATCTAAACATCCACAGACATGGGCAATTGTCATAAGGAGTCTGAACTTTATCGATTTCGACTCTTCATTTTATAGCCAAAAATATAGAAAGAAATGGCAGATGACTTGCCCAAGGCCACCTGACAGGTTTGTGGGGGAGAGCTTTCCAAATTAAGATGACATTTAACTGAGTGGTTGGCCAAATTAGGATTTAGATCTGGGATTCAGTGTGGTAGTCTTTCTCATACATCAAGGATTCTTAATCTGAGGGCCTTGGTTGGACTGCAGGATCTATGAACCTGCTGAACTGCATACAAAATTGGGAGGATATGCATTTTTTCTATGGAAAGAAAGTAGGTACTTAGATCATATTCTTTTTTTTTTTTTTTCTGAGATGGAGCTTTGTTCTGTCACCCAGGCTGGAGTGCCATGGCGTGATCTCAGCTCCTGGGTTCAGGCAATTCTTCTGCCTCCGCCTCCTGAGCAGCTGGGACTACAGGTACACACCACCATGCCTGGCTACTTTTTTTTTTTTTTGTATTTTTAATAGAGACGGGGTTTCACCGTGTTAGCCAGGCTAGTCTCAATCTCCTGACCTCATGATTCACCTGCCTTGGCCTCCCAAAATCCTGGGATTACAGGCGCGAGCCACCGCACTTGGCCAGATCAGATTCTCAGAGATTCAGGGCCCAGTTAAGATGAGGGACCACTACAATCCTCTAGGTCGGCCCTCAGCCCTGCCTTCCCTGCAGCACCTGGGGAACTCATGGGTAGAGCTGCTCCTGTTCTGAACTTTGATCAGGATGGGGGTGTATGTATGTGAGGGACTGTGTTCTCTCCTGCATCACGTATCCCCTCCTGGCGAGCTGATACCAGCACCTTTCCCAATAACAGGCTCAGAGTGAGACAGTGTCTCTGGTGACAGAATTGGGTGTGCTGAATAGGAAGGTTACAGAAACTTCTTGACATCATCCAAGATGTCAAAGCTGAGATTTGGACATGCTCAAAACAGTTTCCACCAAGATGGGCTCTGCCCCCTGGGAGACTGAGGGAGCAGGTGAGCCAGCAAGCACTCACTTAAATGTTGTCTTAATTTGGAAAGCGTAGAGGGACATTTTTTATCAATAGTCAGCCGTTCTCCAGCACCAGGAGTACAATGCAGTGCTCAGAGCCTGGGGGCAGCTCAGAGATTGACAGGCAGCCGCCTTGTCTGTCACCCAACTTCAGTTTGGCAGCTCACTGACCCTACCTCTTCTCTGGCTGAAATAAGAGTGAGATGGCAACCATTACCCTTGAAACTCTGGAGAGAACCAAATCCCAAAAAGAGAGGACAGAAGGAGGGAGAGCACAGGCTTGGCCTGGCACATAGTGTGTACCTAGAAAATAGATCAGCATTTTCTAGTTCCTGCTAAGTTTTGGGTACAATGGGGGAGGAGTAGGACATGATCAGATACACACATGCAACAAACATTTTGTATTTATTGAACAGTTACTAAGTGCCAAAAGTAGCACAGGAAACCATGTGTGTGCATGTGTGCGTGCATGTAGGCGGCGAGCAAGGTGGGGGGCAATAAAGAATTATTCATTCAAGTTATTTAGAGTACCTACTATGTGCTGGGTAGGCTTGGTGCTGGTCATTAGGTGGGGCAGGGGTGAGTATAAACACTCATTTGTTGAACATATATTTAGCAGTAAAGATAAAGTGAATCAAATAGCCTTTTTCCCATCATAGCGTCAGGACTCTGAAAACAGCATCTCCGGATAGGGAAACTGAGGCAGCAGAGCTTCGCACAAAAGTCTCATTGGTGAGGGCACCAGGCTGTGACCCAGCATCCTAACCCAGGCTGGCCCTGCTGATAGGAGCCACCTCCCTCTCCTCCTCTCACACTTCCTCTGGGGCACTGATGGTGAGTCATTAGTAGCAGAATTTTAATGGCAAAAGCACAGCAGTCCCCAGGTCTGCCAATGAAGCCCATCCCCCTGGGGCTGGATCAAGACTGCAGTGACTGAACAGCCAAGGACTTTTGGTCCCTTGACAACACCTTTCTCACGACTCTGCCATCCTTCCCTTTCCACAGGAGAGGCCCTTCCTTTTTAAATTGGAGAGCTTAAAAATATCCTGCCCCCCCACCTTTGGCATCCCAAATTGAATCAGTATTTAGCTCAGCAGTGACTGACAGGGAGGGAGAGCCACTCAGGGAGGGCTGCATCTGGCCTTCACCACAGGATACCCAGTGTCCAGACTGAACCACCCCTTGGCCCTGGGTATGGCTAGAAGGAAGTAGTCAGAAAATCCAAAATGACAACAGAAGGGAGGAGGCTGGGGTGTGGGGCTCCACAGGGAGGACCCACAGTGACATCTCATGCAGAGGGTGCTCCAGGAAGGCTCAAAGGCAATCTGTAGGGAAACAGGCTCTGGGCTTAACTCAGTGAGGGAAAACATTGGGTTAACCAAGCTCTTTACTGGAGGACTTCTTGGAACCTCGAATATGCTGATGTGTATTGTGAATCTATAAAAAGGGGACGTCTGGTGCAGCGTTAACTTATTTAACCACAGAAACCTTTGTTTGTTTGCTTTTTTGGCAGAGAGCTTAGCGCACTGCACAGCTTAAAACCCTGAGCTTGAAACCTCAGGTTTCCTACCCTGCACAGGGCCTTGCACTCAGTGCTGGGGACCCTGGAATACAAAGACAAGGTCCCTGCTCCCAAGGAGTGCCATCTGTAGAAGGCAGCCATGTGCAGGGTTCAATGGCGGTGAGCCAGTGTGCAGGGCAGCCCTGAAAAGGAGGCAGGGAGCAGGCAAGGAGCTGGACCTAGAGGACGCCTGGGCTCCCCGGGTGAAAGGCAGGTGCTAGGAAAGTGTGACAGGACCACTTAGAAGTTGAGAGAGGTGCAGTGGGAAGCAAGGAGGGAAACGTGGACAACTATCCCCCCTCAAATCTTCTCACCTTTGAACTGACCAAGCTGGTTGCTCTTTCCCACTCAGTCACAGGATTGTGGGGGGTGGGCCCTCTATCCCTCCCAGCCCCCACCCTCAACCACATCTATGCTATTCAACTTGGGCTAACGTCCAGAAGCCAGGGAACAGCTATTCACAAATTCAGTAATTGGACTCATTAGCGTCGACTCAGAAATCTTTTTTTTTCCTAAGTCTCTCTCTTGGAGAAGCTTTTAAGATCCTTTAAATTGGTTAATGGAGAGTTTAGAAATGAGGACAGAGCCTCAGCTTTCAGCTCCCCCTGCCCATCTCCCTGGTTCTCCCCAATATACTCAGGGCAAGAGTGATGAGATAATCCAATATCTGTTTTATTAAACACCAAGACATTTCTGGCACACATTTCCCAAACGGGGACCTCAAAAATCTACACTCTCCAGCTCTAAGACTCCTAGCACTCCAGCCACATTTACTCTCCCATGGGTAGGACAGTAATAATGCTTTCACATAAAATTGCAGTGTGAACTGACAGACAAGAACCCTGGAGTCAGGAGGCCCAGGTCCTCATCCTGGCTTGGCGACTCATAAAGCCACGCACCCATGGGCACCACCGCCTCCAGGGCCTAAGTGAGTACCAAGGTCCTCTCTGTGGTGAAATGCCCTTGCATTTGTCTTATAAGGCAGGAGGGAAGACACCATTGCCTTTGGTCTACAACTGAGGAAGCAATACAGGGAGTCAGGTAACTGCTTCAAGGTGACATGGCCAAGCAAGTGGCAGAGCCAGACCTGGGTCTATGCACCCTCCTCCTCTTGACTGTGCTGGCGCAGGTGCATAGGGGGAAGGTGGGTGGGTAACTGGCCTCTTCTTCAGGACTCAAATTGTGATATATATCTGAGAACCCACAGGCTCCATCTTTAGGGCTGAGGTGAGAAGTTCTGAAAGTCAAGCAAACACAACCAGGCATTTGGGCGAGAAACTTCTTCCTTCCAAATCAAAGGTGAAACGAAAACAATTATGAGCCCACGGGGGATGAATAGAGGTGAATGGTGGAGGTAGTCTCGAGGATGGCCTGATTCAGTGTTTCCTAAGTGTCAGCCACTCATGGAACCACCCCTATGATTTTTGCCACCTCTCTAGATCTGTGCTCCCTTTTACGCTATGTTTTTCTTTAAACTGATTCACTTTTTTTTTTTGGAGATGGAGTTTCGCTCTTGTTGCCCATGCTGGAGTGCAATGGCACAATCTCAGCTCACTGCAACCTCTGCCTCCTGGGTTCAAGCGATTCTCCTGTCTCAGCTTCCCAAGTAGCTGGGACTACAGGCCTGTGCCATAATACCTTGCTAATTTTGTATTTTTAGTAGAGACAGGGTTTCTCTATGTTGGTCAGGCTAGTCTTGAACCCCCAACTTCAGGTGTCCTGCCTGCCTTGGCCTCCCAAAGTACTGGGAATACAGGCGTGAGCCATCTCCCTGGCCCTGATTCACTTTTTTTAAAAGTTAGCTTTATCCTAGACAGAACATCTGTCAAACTGCAGGTCAATATGCTAGTCATACTTTTATATTATATGTTAAATATATAACTACTGAAATAGAAAATATTGATTTGAATGTCACCTAAAATCTTCTTGTGAACCAGGGGTACACACATCAAACATTGGCAAAGAGTGGTACTGGTTTAAGTGTGAGAAAACTGAGGCACAGGAAGGGAGAAGGTGAGTGATTTGCTCAAACACAAAGGCTAAGGTGAGCACCAGGGTCTGTGGACCCTCCAGGAGGGTTCTTCCTAGGTCAGTGAATGCATCCTTTGGTGCACAGACCAGAAATGACTGTGAACGCATCCAAGGCTCATCTGTGAGGCTACCAAGTCGGGGGAATGATCAGTTACTTACTAGCCATGTACGTGAAATTGCTTGAGAACCTGAACTCCAGCTGGAATTTCTACCTGGAAAGGGTTGCTGATGCTCTATTTTTGTTATCCAACCTCCCGCCCCCTCTGGCCCCTAAGAGGCGCCAGTGACTATGTTTTATCTCACCTTAGCCAAAACCTAGTCTGACGATGCTCCTTTCCAGTGGGCAGGGGTGTGGAGGAATAGCCCTGCTGGGGGCTTGCGGGCTGGCTCTGAAATGCCGACTTCTGCAGAGGAGGCCAAGGTTCCCTGTGCTTGAGGCATGTGGTAGGTGTGAGGTTCCTGCCAGCAGAGTGTTCAGGCTGCAGAGGGAGGGGCTGGAGAAAGACTTCAGTCCCGTAACTGTCAGGTCTCTGGGCCCTGGGGCTACAAGAAGAGGTGAGAGCAGCTATTACTCATGCTGTATATTCCTGGACTCCTACTTTGGAGCCAGGACTTCTTCAAGGGCTTGGTCCCCCAGGCATTGTTAACTCCCAATCCCAGTGACTCATGAGTGAGCAGGGCTCTCAGAGCCCTAGAAGGGTAATTCAGACAACCTTGGGATATTATCTCTCCTACAAAAGCATCAGAGCAGCTACCATTTGTTCAGTACCTACTGTGCTGTCTGGCTGTGCTAAGCCCCTTAGAGTCATCTCATTCAATCCCTAGGACAACCTAATGAGTTAGGTTTTACCCCTGCCTTTATTTTTAAAGGTGAAGAAAGAGAGGCGCAGAGCCATGGAGTCTAAGTTCAATGACAGTGGGGGTTAAAACTCAGGTATGGCTAGGAGTGGTGGCTCATGCCTGTAATCCCAGCACTTTGGGAGGCCAAGGCGGGTGGATCACCTGAGGTCAGGAGTTTGAGACCAGCCTGGTCAACATGATGAAATCCTGTCTCTATTAAAAATACAAAAAATTAGCTGAGCATTGTGGTGGGAGCCTGTAATCCCAGCTACTCCAGAGGCTGAGGCAGTAGAATTGCTTGAACCTGGGAGGTGGAGGCTGCAGTGAGCCGAGATCGCGCCATTGCACTCCAGCCTGGGCAACAAGAGGGAAACTCTAAAAAAAAACCAGCTCAGGTTTGTCTGACTCCAAAAGCTGTGCTCTTAGCCACCACAGGGGTTGGAAATGACAAGGAGACCAGAGACTACTGCCACATACTATTCTGTCACAGGGTACTGAGCTTAGGGAAAGGATCTGTTGGCTTGGACTTGTGTCTGTACCTGCAGCCTCCATGGAAAAGAGGGCTCGCAGCCTCTCCTGGGCAGCCTCATTTCCCAGAGCCGCTGACTGCTGGTAACATCTCAAGGCCTCTCCCAGATTCCTGTGTACACCAAGGCCTCTCTCGTAGCAAATTCCCAAGTGGTACCTGCTCTGTGAGTCCTAAGGGAGAAAATGGACAGACAAACAGATATACACATGCAGGACTGAGGAACTGAAATGCTAAGGCAGGAGGAAGGTAAAGTCAGGCATGCTGAGACTTCTTCCATGCAGGGTCAAGGCCGAACCCTGGCCCACCCCATAGCAAGGGATCTCAACTATGAAATGCCAGAGGCTCAGAGCTCGCCCAACACAAAGGAGAAGGGGATCCCTCCACCTGGGCAGATTCCAGCCAGGGCAGTGTGGAGGCTTCTCTTGCACAGGCTGGCTGAAAGCATGCACAAGAAAGGCTATAGGAAACACTCAGCCCAGTTACAGGAAACCTGGGAGTTGGGCTCCTACGTTGCCCTGAAACAGCAAGGAGGCAAATGTGGAGAGTCACCTTCCCAAAAACCCTGTGCCTTCCTGAATCTCTGCCTGGAAGGGCTGACCAAAAAAAGCAATTTTTCTCCTTTAAAAAGCTATGCTCTTTGCCCTGGCTCTGGATCCTTTCTCCTCTCACCAAGAGCTATGCTCAGGATCGGGTAGAGGCCGGGTGTCCAGCTGCACAGCCAGACTGTCTGCGCTCCCGTCATGGCTCTACCACTTACCAGCTGTGTTAACTCAGGCACATGACTCCACCTCTTGGCACCTCAGTTTCCTCACCTAAAAATGTGATACTAAAAGCACCTACCTTATTAGGTTGTTGCAAGGATTAAATACGCTATATGAAAAGTGCTTATATGCACTCTATGAATCATATTCACTCTCCCAATTTAAAGAAACAAAACAAAACACTATTGACTCCCAACCATGGTCCCATTTCTCTTCTACCCGCCACAGTCAAATTTCTGGAAGAGTTGTCTACACATTCTGCCCCACTTCTATAACACACAGGCCAAAGTCCCTCCAATAAATATGGCAGACTCATGCCTACAGGTCAGGTTCCAACACAGCACTGGACACATGTCACCGCCCCTGCAAAGCTGCTCAGTACAAACCCAGGAAGACACAATTCCCGGTGGGGTGGAAAAGTGTTAGGTCTGAGTCCCAAGACAGTGTCACATAGCAGTTGACAGATATCCTTTTGTGCACTTTTCCTGCTAACATGCTGGTCTGATTAAAGCAGGCCAGCATGACCACAGGCTTGCCCTGCACATGGATGTGCAGACCTGCCCAACTTTGAAAGGCTCTGTGGGGCTCTTTCAAGGCAAGGTAGGTACAGCTCTGGATATTGGTTGGTGACATTGGTCCCCTTTTGAGTAGACAAGGAAAAGCATTCTGATGCCCAGGAGTTCAATGAAGCTATCAGTGTGTTAGCCAGAAAACAAAGGAAGCAGCAGTCCCCTATGTAGGGAGATCATGGTACACGCATATATTGCTTGATTTCATCCAAGACTCCTGGTCCGTCAAGATACAACTCAAAAGATCCACTGGCTAAATACACTTGAGGAATACAGCAAACCACAGATGGCCTTTTCAATGATCTACAGTGACATAAAGCTTTGAGACTTCCTGCATTAACAATAACTGTTTAACTCAGTTATTTCCCAAACCCATCTAACCATGTTTTTCCTCTCAGGACTTATAAACATCTTACGGAACTAACGCTTCATGGAACACATCTCAATTGTCTGAATGCCAGTGCCCCCAGTTCACAGACAACCAGACATGCCCACCCACCCCAAGCTGAGCAGTGTTCACTGTTTACTTCTCCACCTGATGCGTCTTCCGATTTCCCTGGGTTACCATCACTTGTAATGATGCATTTTTCATGTGTACAGTTTACACAGCACTCTCACACCTGTTATCTCAGTTAGATTTTGATCCTCAACAACCCTGTGAAATAGTGGACAGGTAAGGCAAACATTATTATGCTGATTTTAAAGACGAGGAAATAGGTTTCAATCAAGAAGTGACCAGGCCCAGTAGTATGCTGGTAAATGTTGAACAACTGGCTCTCTAGGAGAGAAACAGTGCTGCTTTGTGGCATTCAGCAATTTCTGTGGTGCAAATATTCCCTCCATTGCAGATTTTAAGCTGCACGCAGCTCACAGCCTGAGGCAAGGCAGCTCCAGCGCAGTCTTGCAACTGCCCAAGGGTTACACGAGAGCTAAGGCTTGAAGCCAGCCCAAAGCTCCTATCAAACAATCTCCTAAGCACAGAACTCAGTACCAGTTCCAAAATCCCTTCTCTTATCAGGCTTCAGCACCAACATGCTTGCACACTAGAGATCTCATACCCCATTGTTGGCTGCAAGCCAAAGGTATTTCACAGCTCTCTGCTCATCCAGGTAGGGCTCCTTGGTGAAAAGCACCCCGAGGAAAGCTTGGGCCTGTGGTCAAGGAGGAAGGAAAAAAAGGCATCTTGGTCAGTTTCAGGCTCCACAGGCCCCAGAGACCTTGGACAGACCCTGCCAATGGTACTCACCTCTCTCAAGCCTGAGTCTGCAGCCTGCTTCAGCATGGACACTGCCCTCTGCTGCTCAGGGTCCCACGAAGGGGCTGTGTCTTGTAGTAGGCACCTGGCATAGCGGTACTGAGCCAGGCTGTGGCCTTGGCTGGCAGCCAGTTGATAATAAAGGACTGCCTGAGGCAAAGGGAGAAACACCCAGTCAGCTGATAACTCTGTAAGCATTTTCTTTCAGTGAAATTTTTAAAATTATTTTAATTAAATAATATAATAATTATAGAGTAGTCAGAAAATTCAGATAAGCCAGAATTTAAAAATATAAACCAAAAATAGAAACATAAAATCCCAAGAAATTCAGCCTCCTAAAGATCATTCTTGCTTAAAATGTTAGTGTTCAGCCTTGCAAATCTTCCCACATGTGTTATACATACTCACACACATACATTTTAGATATCTATGCATTTGCACACGCGTGTGTGTGTGTGTGTGTGTGTGTATGGGGGGCAAAGAGAGAGAAAGAGATTTAGATCACACTGTACTACTTTATAACCTATTTTTTAACTTTATTGATACACCATGAATGTCTTTTCCTGACAATATAGATCTAGCACATCATTTTAAGGCCCAAATAGATGTAATTAACCAGTTTTCTATTGAAGAAACTTACAAGCTTTTTTTTTTTTTTTTTTTTTTTTTTTGGCTCCACATACAACTTTAAGAAACACATTCTTATATACAACCACTTTGTGGCCGGCACAGTGGCTCACGCCTATAATCCCAGCACTTTGGGAGGCTGAGGCGGGTGGATCACAAGGTCAAGAGATCGAGACCATCCTGGTCAACATGGTGAAGCCCCGTCTCTACTAAAAATACAAAAATTGGCTGGGCATGGTGGTGCGTGCCTGTAGTCCCAGCTACTCAGGAGGCTGAGGCAGAAGAATTGCTTGAACCCAGGAGGCGGAGGTTGCGGTGAGCCGAGATCGCGCCATTGCACTCCAGCTTGGGTAACAAGAGCAAAACTCCATCTCAAAAAAAAAAAAATAATAACCTCTTTGTGTTCTTATCCTATTTTTAAAAAATTAATTAATCCATTCATTGAGATGCTATTCTAAGCCGAGAATACACTAGCAAAGAAGAAAAGCAAAATCACTGCCCTCCCTGATTTTTTAGTCTAAATTCCTGGAAGTTAGGAGCTTCTTTCTTATTTTTCTTTCGCAGCTGGGCTACAACCAAGTGGGGAAAAGAAGCCAAACTTTCCCCCTTCCCTGCCTACTGCTCATTTCTAGACATCACTCTCAGCAGCCCAGCACAGGGGACAGGCTTGGGGGCAGGGGAATACCTTGCTAATGTCCCTGGGGGTGCCTCTGCCATGCTCATGACACAAGCCCGCGTTGTACTGCGCTTTGCTGTAGCCGCGGGCTGCAGCTTTCTGGAAGTAAGAAAAGGCTGCCGTGTAGTCACCACTCTTCATGTTCTCTGTCCCTATAAGAAGGCACAGGGCACAAACACTCATAGCTTCCTCAGTGAACTTCCCCACACCCTCAGCCAGGTACCTACAGACTCCTAATCTGATCCTCCTCCCTTTTTTTTTTTGTGCCAGACACTTTGCATATATTTCTTTCTTTTTTTTTTTTGAGATGGAGTCTCGCTCTGTTGCTGAGGCTGGAGTGCAGTGGTGCCATCTCGGCTCACTAAAACCTCCGCCTCCTGGGTTCAAGCAATTCCCTGCCTCAGTCTCCCAAGTAGCTGGGATTACAGGTGCCTGCCACCATGCCTGGCTAATTTTTGTATTTTTAGTAGAGATGGGGTTTCATCATCTTGGCCGGGCTGGTCTTGAACTCCTGACCTCGTGATCCACCCGCCTCCACCTCCCAAAGTGCTGGGATTACATGTGTGAGCCACCACACGTGGCCTTTTTTTTTTTTGAGATGGAGTCCAGCTCTGTTGCCCAGCCTGGAGTACAGTGGCGCAATCTTGGCTCACTGCAACCTCCACCTCCTGAGTTCAAGCAATTCTCCTGCCTCAGCCTCCCAAGTAGCTGGGATTACAGGCATGAGCTACTACACTAGGCCCTTTACATATATTTCTATCCTCCAAATATTTCACTGGTTTGCCATAGACAGCAGTAGGTTCTGCCCTACTATAAACCATTCCTCCTTCTCTTGGTAATAGCATCCAGATTTCCCATTGGGAACAACCCCTCCCCTGGTGCTCCCAATGACAGAGATTTTTTCTTAGGAATCTGAACCTTGATCTGGTTGGGACAAGGAAAGAAAACGGTCCTTGTAGGTTTATTCTGACAGCACCACTCTGAAGATAGTCTATCAGCTGCTGCCTCTTGGGTCTCTGGAGCTTCCCTGATTCCTGTCCTTTCTGAGGCTTGGCAGGTCAATAGATCCCAATAGATTCCTTTTGTGCTTAAGTTAGCCAGAGTGGGTTTAGGTTGCTCATAACCAACAAACCCTAACTGATACAAGTGATATCATTAATCTTGTTTCATGAAGAAATTGGGAGCAGTAATACAGCAGCATCAAGACCTGAATGCAGGCACGTTCAACTCCAAAGCCCATGTTCTTTTCATTGCCCAAACAAAAAGGAAACAGGAAAGGATCAGGGCACAGCCAGTTCTCAACTCAAAGCCTTTGCTTCATCTGCCTCTCCTGCCTGGGATCTCTCTTTCCACCTCCACCATCAAAGGTCCCATCCTGTGTCTGCTCTAGAACCTTCAGCCCACACTCAGCCTTTAAACACTTTTTTGGCACTTACTTAATATACCAAACCTTTTTCTAAACCGTTTCAAAAGTACAAGTCCTGTCTCCTCAATTAGACTGTAAAATCCTGGAGGCAGAGCAGAAAAAGAAATGTAGAAGAAATAACTTTGCCTAGGGTGAAGGCACCATACAAATGCAAAACACGATTATTGCTTATGCTCCTTTTATGTTCTGCCACTGTGCCAAGCACTTGCTGAATAAATGAATATATGAATAAAGGGACAGGCAAGAAAATTCCGAGAAGAGACTCTTTGCCCATCAAAATCACATAAAGCTAATGAGGGAGAAACCAGGTTCCATTCAGCCAGCAATGAATTAAATACAGTTGCCTCCCTGCTGCCTGAAAACTCAGTGTCCCGGGTTGACAGAGCCCTCTGCCCTTGGGGAGAAGATTCAAGAATGTGAAGGATCCCACTACCCTCCTGTTTCCCACCTGGCTCATTAATATACCCAGATCCATCTACTCTTGTTGCTCTCTCCTTTCTCTAACCTAGACCATGCCACCGACGTGTTTTGTTTAGCTGTCACTAACAGCACCTACTTGGTCTCCTGGTTCCTCTCTAGCAACCCTACAATCCATGTCTGTCTACACGGCAGCCGGAGAGATCTTAGGAAAAGCACATCAGGTCATGTGACTGTCCCCTTTCCTACTCCTGCTTAAAGTCCTCCAAAGACTTCCTGTCTCACTTAGAAAATCCATACTCTTTACCATGGCTCAGAAGACCTCACCTGACCTGACTCCTGCCTGCTGTTCTGGCTTCATCTCCTTCCACCCTTTCCAAGATCTTAAAGCTCCAGCCACACTCACCTTTCTTTTGTTCCTTTAGCAAGCAAAATCCAATCCTGCCTCAGGACTTCTGCACTTACTGTTCCCACCACATGGAAAGCTCATTCTCCAAATTGAAACAAAAGTGGCTGTTTTTGTGACAGGTCTTAGATCAAAGGTCTTCTGCTCAGAGAGGACTTTTAAATAGAAAACCACTCCTTGCTCAAGTCACTAACACATTCCCGTGTTTTATTTTCTTCATAACATTTATCAGCATCTGAGATTCTTTTTATTTGTTTCTTAATTATTGTTTTTCTGCTCCCTGAGAATAAGGACTTCTTCTTGCAAGTCACTGTATCCCCAGTACCTAAAATAGGACCTAGCAAAAGGTAAACGCTCAATAAATTTGTTGCGAATGAATCCCAGCCTCTTGCCTATCTGCCCACTAGACCTCAATAGGTGCTGTGGGGAGTCTGAGTCTTCACATCAGAAGGCCTGAAACGAGCCAAGTCACTGCAGAGACCAGGACAAATGGTGAAAGGGCATTTGGAGTCCTCAGATGAGGGGAAAACGTTCCTGTTCATACATTGAGAATCTGCTACAAACCTCAGGAGCCTGTTCTTTCCTAAGTGTGGCAGAGAATGATAAGTGCGCTCCAAGATTTATTTTCTCCTTCATATATAGTAACTTGGCAGGATCCTCTGTGGCGAGGTGTGGCCATGTGCCTACATTCTGGACAAGGACTTGTGCAACATCTAGATTAAAGGGAAGAAGTGATTCTTTAGCTTACCTACCTTGCCCCTTCTAGCTGGCTAGAATATGGACAGGAGGGTAGTAGCTGGAATTGCCAAACTCTGCCTCAAGATGGGAGCCAGTTTTAAGAATGCCAGGACATATTTGCATAAGAATGGGTCTCAGCCATCACTGAGCCACCATGCCAGATTTGGTCTACCTACCTGGGAGAAAATAAAACCTCTCTTGTTTAAGCCACTCTCTATCCTGACTCTATCTGATCCACCCCATACCCTTTTCATTTTCCCACCCTCCTGCCTTGATGCAGGGTCCATTTGGTTACCCAGGAAGTTGAAAGCGATGGAAACACTGAGCTGGAAGAGCTGCTGAATGGAAGTCACAGCCTCCTCGAGGGAAAGAGTTTTTGATGTATCTTGTTCCTGGGGAAGAAACATAAAGACTCATCTAAGGATGGTTCAGTGGGATAGCCACCTGCCCAAGAGAATGTTATGTGGATCCAGGTGGCCAAATCTAGATAATACCTGTTCACCAGCGTGCTGAGGCTGGGCTGGTTTTGCCTTGGATTTGATTCTGCTACTGGCATGCAGGAAGCCAAAATCACTGGGACCTGCAAGGGAAAGGCCGACACCTGGCCAGGGCAAAGAAGAAAGTTGTACTTCTTTTCTCCAACTCTCCCAGCCTACCCAGGCTTTCCATCCAGCACCCTTGCCAGGAACCGAAATAATCCTCAATCACCTCACAAGGCATGGGACCTCACAGGAGTGCCAATTCCCTTCTCTGGGAATATGCATCAACCAACATACATCTGCCCAGCTCCCCACCACCACCAACCTCTGCCTTCTGCCGATTCCATGAGGCAGGGACGTACCTTCCTCAGAGGAGGGGTCCTGAGGACGAGCTGCTCTCAAGGAGTTGTGTGAGAAGTTCTGGGGCTGAGCTGAGGCTTCTTCCTGGCCAAGCCTGGGTTCTCTGAGGCCAGTGTGCCTGGGAGCTGGGCCATCAGGGCTGGGGAGGATGTGCTGCCGCAGTGCTGCAAAGAGCCAGCAAGAGTAGTCAGGTCAGAGCCGGGTGCACTGGCTCACACCTATAATCCCAGCACTTTGGGAGGCTGAGGTGCATGGATCACCTGAGGTCAGGCGTTCAAGACCAGCCTGGCCAACGTGGTGAAACCCCATCTGTACTAAATATACAAAAATTAGTGGGGTGCAGTGGCATGCACCTGTAATCCCAGCTACTCGGGAGGGTGAGGCAGGAGAATTGCTTGAACCCAGGAGGTGGAGGTTGCAGTGAGCCAAGATCGCACCACTGCACTCCAGCCCAAGTGACAGAGCAAGACTCTGTCTCAAAGAAAAAAACAAAACAGAACAAAAACATGTGGTCAAGCCAGAAAAGGATCAGTGCAGGCTGATCGGGCTTGACTGAGTCCTCCCTGAGGTTTTAGAGGACATAGGAAGAATTTACAAACTCCTGTGACACTTCCTTCATACTCCTCCTTCTCTGTTTCCTTGGCTTCCTTCCACAGGAGTCTAGAGGGGCCTGTATTTGGACTGATCTCCCATCCTAGGCATCAATCACTCCTCTGCTTGAATTCTTCAGTGGCAGGGAGGCATCTACCTTACTCACTGTTGTAGCCCCAGTACCTAGCACTTTCTTTGATAGTAATTATTGCTAATGATTATCATCATAATAAAGACAAGAACTAATGCTTAAACTAATAATTACTATGCATTTACTATGTGTCAGGCACTGTCCTAAGTCCTTGATATGTATCAACTCATTTAGTCCTCTCAATAAACCTATGGGGTGGGCTTTATTATTACCCCATTTTATAGATGAAGAAACTAAGGCAGAAGGAAGTTAAAAGTGACTTGTTCAAGGACATAAGACTACTGTGCAGCCCGGCACGGTAGCTCACACCTACAATCCCAGCACTTTCGGACGCCGAGGTGGGTGAATCTCAAACTGAGGTCAGGAGTTCGATACCAGCTTGGCCAACATGGTGAAATCCTGTCTCTACTAAAAACATAAAATTAGCTGGGGATCGTGGCAGACACCCGTAGTTCCAGCTACTCGAGAGGGTAAGGCAGGACAGTCACTTGAACCTGGGAGGCGGAGGTTGCAGTGAGCCAGGATTGTGCCACTGCACTCCAACCTGGGTGACAGAGTGAGACTCTGTCTCAAAAAAAAAAAAAAAAAAAGACTAGTATGCAGCAGTTTTGGACTTGAACCTTTATAATCTGACTCTAGAGCCTCAACCACTAGGCTATGTTGCCTCTGTACCATGGCACATAATAGGTGCTCAATAAAGATTCATTTATTCATAAATGACTGAGTGACTGACCAGAGAATAACCTAACTGGTTGAATGTGGGACAGGAAACCACACCCAGAACCGAAAGTGGTCTGGACCTGTGGGGCTCCCTCGGTTGGAGGTGATGGGAGGAAATGGAAAGACACTGAGGGGCAGGTGTGGCCCACACCCTAGGCGGATAGAACTTCCCCAATTCCTCTTCCTCTGACTTCAGATAGGAAAGGCAAGGAGCTGCTGACAGCTCTTTTCCTGAGGTGTGTCCAGAGATGCTTCCTGGCCCAGAGAAACTCCCAGCCCAGCCCTCCTGTCCCCAGGACTGAGAACTCACAGGAGCATGGGTGCCACAGGGGAGATGAGAGGAAACGGCCCAGGGGACTGTGCCAGGAGCAGTGTTCCACTCGGCGAGGCCCTGCTGGCAGGGATGCATGGAAGTGGATCTGCCTTGCCAGCTGCAGGGCCAGCACGGCCAGAGTGCCCTGGAAGAGAGAGCACATTAAGGACACAGTCGTTCCCCAGTCAACTCCGTCAGACTCAGCCTTCCACTCAAACATCACTTCCTCAGGAAATCCAGGGGGGGCATCTCCTCTGCTACAAACTTTCACAGCACCCGAACTTCTCTGGAGCCCTGACCACACTGGCATTTAAACAATCATCTCTAGAATTATTTATCTAAGGTCTGTCTCTCCTTTTAGTCTATAAGCACAGCATGGGCAGGGACCATGTATGTTTTACTCACCAATGTATCTCTGGTGCCCAAGTACAGCACAGTGTGCTAAGATACAGTAGGGATGAGATATAAGTACAAACTGAATAAGTGCTTGACCGAGTGACTAAATAAGCAAAGACTAAGCCAGCAAAAAGACAATGGGGTAGGCTGGGCGTGGTGGCTCACGCCTGTAATCCCAGCACTCTGGGAAACCAAGGCGGGTGGATCACCTAAGGTCAGGAGTTTGAGACCAGCCTGGCCAATATCGTAAAACCCTGTCTCCATTAAAAAATACAAAAAAATTAGCCAGGCATGGTGGCGGGCACCTGTAATCCCAGCTTCTCAGGAGGCTGAGGCAGAAGAATCGCTTGAACCCATTAGGCAGAGGTTGCAGTGAGCAGAGATTGCACCACTGTACTCCAGCCTGGGCAACAGTGAGACTCCATCTCAAAAAAAAAAAGATAACGGGGTAGGTTGGCACCTAGTTGCAAATATAGCAACAGGTCAGAGTTCCCTTTAGGCTCTTTTTCCAGTCTTGTACAACCCCTCCTTCTACCAACTCCCATTACCCCAATCAATCACCCCAGCACACACACACATTTCCAGGTGTAGCTTTGTAAAGATGTTTCTTCTCTGACAGGTCTGCAGGAGACCTGAGCTAACTCTTTTTTTTTTTTTTTTTGAGGCGGAGTTTCGCTCTTGTTACCCAGGCTGGAGTGCAATGGCACAATCTCGGCTCACCGCAACCTCCGCCTCCTGGGTTCAGGCAATTCTCCTGCCTCAGCCTCCTGAGTAGCTGGGATTACAGGCATGCGCCACCATGCCCGGCTAATTTTTTGTATTTTTAGTAGAGATGGGGTTTCACCATGTTGACCAGGATGGTCTCGATCTCTTGACCTCATGATCCACCCGCCTCGGCCTCCCAAAGTGCTGGGATTACAGGCGTGAGCCACCGCACCCAGCCAAGACCTGAGCTAGCTCTTATCCCAGAGACTGCTTAGCTTACCCTGTCTCTCTTTGTGTTATGCTTAAGAAGGTTGACCCAGGGTCGGGCGCAGTGGCTCATGCCTTTAATCCCAGCATTTGGGAGGCTGAGGCAGGCAGATCACTTGAGGCCAAGAGTTCAAGATTGGCCAACATGGAGAAGCTCTATGTTGAAAGTAGGTTAAAAACTCTACTAAAGTAGAAACTCTACTAAAAATACAAGAATTAGCCAGGTATGGTGGTACACATCTGTAATCCCAGCTACTCAGGAGGCTGAAGCCTGAAAATTGCTTGAACCTGGGAAGCAGAGGTTGCAGTAAGCCAAGACTGTGCACTGTACTCCTAAAAAAACACTAAGGTCGACCAAGATACTTGTTGCAACAGGCACTGCATACAATAGCAAGTAAGACAGACATAGTTTCTGCCCTCATGAAGTTTATATCTTGTGTTTAAAAAGACAAAACACAAGTACAGAAAGAAATAAATACAACTACTACTACTGATGCTAAATGCCAAGAAGGAAACAAATCGGAGTTACACAGAGCATAAGCGGGGTTGTGACAAGACAAGGAGTCAGGGAGAGCCTCTCTGCGGAGGTGATATGTGAGCTAAGGCCAGAAGAAAAGGCACCAGTATTGCGAAGAGCAGAGACATGTACTGTGGCACTGGGGACAGCTTGTGTGCAGACCCTTTCATATGAACAGTAGTGTCTAAGCACAGGGATGGCATCAGGACTTCTGGAATCCAGGCCCTCTTCCTACTTCTTACTGTGGAACAGCTTTAGAGCTCAGACCATCTTTGGCAGTATGGGAAAATGCTCCTCCATTCAGGGTATGACATGACCTTAGTCCACAGGTCCCCAGAGAGAGGTAACCCTGTCGTGGAGACATCCGAGGCTCAGCTGTGCTGATGATACCAATTTACAGATGAGAAAGCCAAGGCTCACAGAGGTCAAGTCATTTGTCCAAAGTACACAGCATGAAAGCAGCATGGATAGGCTGTGACAGACATGAGAGTGATATGTGTGTCAACCTCATTCAGAAGACCTTATAAGCAGAACTTTTACCTAGAATTTTGCCTGAAAAGCAAAAGATTCTGCCCTATGAGACTTAGTGTTCATTACTAAGAATCTGACCTTATAGATCAGATTCAACAAATATTTATTGAACAACTATTATAGGCTAGGCTCTGTATTAGATATAGCAACCAAGCAGTAGAACATGAACTCCAGAGTTAAATCTGGCTCCTCCGCTTAATAGGTGTGAGTCTCTAAGCACGTTACCTAATATTTCAGAGCCTGAGTTTCCTCATCTGTTAAATGAAGGTGATATTTCCTTTGTAAGATTTTTGTGAGGATTACACAAGATAATGCAATGTATAATACTTTACATTAATAAATAATGCTATGTATTACTATTTATTGTAAGATCCATGAAAGCAAGAATATATCTTGCTCTCTGCTATGTCCCTAGTACCTAGCAAAAATGCCTGGCCCAGAGAAGGTGTTAAATAAATGTTTACTGAATGAAATGAGGAAAACATACATGGTGGGGTAGGGGGAAATGGCAATATCTCCTTGAATATGCTCCAATGCCATGGGTTACTTGTTAAAGGGACACAGTGATTCCCTAGCCCTCGTTTTCAGGTTAAGACTATACATCTATGCAGGATAATTCTCATCTACATTGAAGGTCAAGGACAGGGCTGGGGATACCTTACCCACGATATGGCATCCCGTAGGGTGTTCGGGGAGACACAGGCAGACATCCACTGGAAGGCATCCTTCCATCCATGGGACTTTGGACCCCTGCTCCTGCCTGGGCCTTGGGGACCCGACCTAGATGATGCAATAAGAGGCTGTCAAATTTTCTACAAAGTAGGACCAAAGGGAGACCAGGGGAGGAAATGAGTGGCAATATAACAGTATCTTACCTGTCAAGGTTAGGCACAGGAACCAGCAAGGTGGAGGAGGCAGTCTGAGGCCCATCTGGGCTAGTGAACTTGGGAGTCACCCTCCAGAGGCTAGGTCCCAGCGTACGGGGAAGAGCTGCAAAAAACAACCAAAACTCAGATATTTCAACAAAAACCCAGGAATCACTGTCATCTGCCTCAGCAGAGGTTCTTAAACACAGATACACGTGAGAATCTTTCGTCTACTACAAATTCTAGCACCACAACCAATTGGTTCTAGAACTCCAGAACCAATAAACTAAGATTTCTCAGGGTAAAGCATCCACTTTTTAAAAAAGCTTCCATGTGATTCTGCTGCTCTCCACTGTCGTAAGATGACTAGACGTTTATATACATACTCTCAATAATGTTTGGGGCACTTTGTCTCTAAACCTCTCCTCTCTTCACTGGCTATGCCTACTCCACTGGCCGCTAATTGTGTTTGATTCCTTCAGTCCACCAACTCCTGCCATTGGACTCATTCCCCTCCCAATAGTTCCACCCATCTCCTTGGACTCCACCCTCTTCTCGCTAGGCCCACCCACATCTCAAATTCCAAGAGCCCTTGACTTCCCCGCCCCCTTTCAGGCCCCGCCTTCCTTAGCTCTAACCCCGCCCCCAATCGCTTTGGCTCTTTCCTCAGGCCAGCCCCCACTTCAGTTCGATCTCCTCGGCCCCGGGTGGTGCTCGTTGCTCGGACGCCCCTTACCTAGGCCCAGGAGTCCCGGGAGGCGCCACATGTCGCTGCCAGCACCATAAAGAGCTCGCAGCCGAAAGGCCGAGAACGAGCCTCGGGACAGCGGCTAGAGAGGCCGCCGCGTTGCCCCCGAGTGGCCAAGTCCCCGAGGAAGTTCTGAGCCGGCCAATTAGAGGGGAGCCCGGCCGGAAAGACTGCGCTGCCGAGAGGAAGTGCAGGGAGGAGGCGTATTCCGGGCTAGCGTGGAGGTGACGTTCGGCAAGGGCATGGGGATGTGGGACCAGCCTTACGTGGGGGATGTCCTTGGCGTTGCCACGCAGAGGCAGGGGACCGCAGGTGGCAAAGCGAGCCGCTCAGAAGCGTGACCATTGAGAAACGGGGCTGGAGCGGCTTCGGGGGGACTAGAGGACCTTGCAGACGCTGAGGCCGCGAACGAAGAAAGGCTTCCCCAGACCCTAGGCTTGAGGAGGTGGGAGTAACCAAGCTCCGTGGCGGAGGAGAGGAGCCCCGGGGTCCAACAAAAGAAGCCAGTAGGCCGAGCTTCCATCCAAGGCCACCTGCCTGGAGATGCCAGGCCAGGGCCCGACCGCATAGGCGACGAGAAACCGTGCAGGGCAAGGCTTTGATTCTGGCTTCTAGCTCCGGCCCAGCTTTGTCTCACTGTGCAGCTTCCTGCCATCCCCTTAACTTGTCCGAGCCCCAATCCGTGCCAAATAGGGTCAGATGGAATGACTGGCCTGACAGGCTGGGATTCTTGGGTAGCTCCTTTCAAAATACCTGAGACACCTCCGCTCCCTATTAGAACCCCGGTCTTCAGACGTGGCAAAGGTTATCTTTGTATTTGTTCTTTGTGGAAAAGAATAGTTCCTCTTTCACCAGACTTGAATCCGTGAAATAACAGAGCTCACATTCAAGTGTAAGGTGTTTAGATTTCCTCCCTATCCCCTTCCTCCGGGTATGTGACTTTAAGATGGGTGGAAGTCTCTAGCTGGGGTAAAAGTGTACTGGGGACACCTGCTTTTAGAACCAGGCATATTGCCTGAAAGTTGTATTAATTTGTTAAACAACTTTTTATTTGGATACGGATTCTAGCTCTGTCACCCAGGCTGGAATGCAGTGGTGCGATCTTGGCTCCCTGCAACCTCCGCCTACCTAGTTCAAGCGATTCTCTTGCCTCAGCCTCTGGAGTAGCTGTGGTTACAGGCGCCCGCTACCACACCCAGCTAATTTTTGTATTTTTAATAGAGACGGGGTTTCACCATGTTGGCTAGGCTGGTCTCAAACTCCTGACCTCAAGTGATCCACCCGCCTAGGCCTCCCAAAGTGCTGGGATTATAGGCTTGAGCCACTGTGCCTGGCCGTTAAACAACTTTTGAGCCATATATCAGCCTGTCATAGGTCTGAGAAGACAGATGAGGAAAGAGCATTTGTGGTCTCCAGGAACATGGTCCAATGGATTAAGAGTGGGCTTTGTAGTCCCACAAATCTAGGTTGAAATCACAGCTTGCTTACTCTCTAGCTATGTTATCTTGTGCAGGTTCCTTAACACTAAGTCTCAGGAGCTTCATCCATAAAATAGGGAAAATAATACCTCATGTAATTGTTGTGAGGTTTCAGTAAAATAATACGTTAAAAATGTTTAGCATGGGCCAGGGTGCGGTGGCTTGCTGTAATCCCAGCACTTTGGGAGGCCGAGGCAGGTGGATCACATGGTGGGGAGATCAAGACTATCCTGGCCAACATGGTGAAACCATGTCTCAACTAAAACATAAAAAATTAGGTGGGCGTGGTGGCACGCACCTGCAGTCCCAGCTGTTCGGGATGCTGAGGCAGAGGAATTGCTTGAACCCGGGAGGCAGAGGTTGCAGTGAGCCAAGATCAGACCACTGCACTCCAGCCTAACAACAGAGTAAGACTCCATCTCAGAAAAAAGTTAGCTTGGTGTTTCAGGAATACCCTTCAAAAAAATAATAAATAAATAAATAAAAATGCTTAGCATAGTAAAAGCCCAGTAAGTGTTAAGTTGCTGTTAATTATAGTAGTAGGGGAGGTAAGTAGGCAAGTGTAATAGATTATGTTCCCATAGAAACATGAGCAATGCGTTGTGGGATTCCTTAGAAGGCTTCAGAAAAATAGTTGCATTTGAGCAGGGCCTTTAAATATGAATAAGGGCTTGCCAGGTGGAGAAGGAAGAAAGGCATTGCAAGCAGAAGAAACAATAAATAAAGGCCGATAAGTTTGATATTCAGAAATAGCCTTGCTTTGGGATTTGGGACAGCCACCTTTCACATTCCTTGTGTTGCTGCCCCCAAAATAAAGTAACAAACAAGTATGCTGGTTCGGCTTTGTTCTTCCTCCTGGGTCTTTTGTACCCTCCTTCCTTTCAGACTATCCATAGTTTGTGTCATTTCTCAAGTCTTAGTCCAATCCCAGCTCTTCAGTGTAGACTCAACTGTTTGAGCCCTCCCTGCTCCCTACTTTTGCCAATTCCTATAGCACTTAATTACTTACTACACAGTTTAGCAGTAATTATATGCTATTATGATATTTATCTCATGTGTGTAACTCTAGCCTTCCCAGTTCTCTCCCTCAGGGCAGGAATAGCATTTTCCTGTTTCGTGTCCCATACAGAGCTTGATGTAAATTGTCAGCCCAAAGAATATATCCAAACAATGCCTATTGACAGAATACCTTGTATTAATGATTATTACAGCAAAGGGTACGAGACCCCAGTCTGGGGATTTGCTGATTTGAGTGGAAATATATTCATTGCACATACAGACATTGATTGAGGGCCCTCCCTGTGTGAAGCTAGTTGAAAAGTTTTGAAGGAGAGAGTAGGACATCTGTCCCCATGTATAGAATAACACGGCATCTCTTGTCCCCATAAACGGGAACATCAGCAGATGACTTGTGTGAGGGTGGATGGTGAGGGTGGCTGGAGCCCACAGCAGATCACCTGTTCAGTGCAGCTCATGAGAGCGCTGTCGGAAATAGCTGCTTTAACTTCCAGGCCTCAAACCATCAGCCTTTCTTTTCTGCTCCCAAACTCTATGGTGTTGGATTGTGGTTTAGTCCCTCTATGCAGTCCCTCAAGTTGACTGAATCCCTCCACAAAGGTAAGCTGTCTGTCTGACATCGGGAACCTGTTGTCCACCGTCCATTGAATTACCTTTCATGATGACTACACATGCCATTGTGTACTTTGTGTACTCTCACCACGGCAAGTGTTCTAGATACTTGTTGCCTTCATTTTTGTAGGCATTCTTAAAGTGCAGTAATCAAATATATGAGCGCTTATTTAGTGCTAAAGGATATCCTAAGTATATAACAATTTTAAAACATGGATGTGGGCTGGGTGCAGTGGCTCACACCTGTAATCCCAGCACTTTGGGAAACTGAGGTGGGCAGATCACGAGGTCAGGAGTTTGAGACCAGCCTGGCCAACATGGTGAAACCCCATCTCTACTAAAAAATACAAAAAATTAGCCGAGTGTGGTGGTGTTCACTTGTAATTGCAACTACTTGGAAGGCTGAGGCAGGAGAATCGCTTGAACCCAGGAGGCGGAGGTTGCAGTGAGCCAAGGTCAAACCATTGCACTCCAGCCTGGGTGACAGAGCAAGACTCTGTCTCGAGAAAAACAAAAACAAACCTTGAATGTGGTTTTTGTCCCTGCCCTCACAGAAAATAGCCTAGGAGGGCAAACAAAGTAGGCAATTAAAATACGGAGTGATATTTTAGTTACTTATTGCAGCATAACAAACACCCCAAAATTTAGTGGCTTAAAACAATCATCTCCCACAGTTTTGCAAATTGACTGGGCTCAGCTGGGCAATTCTGCTGGTCTCACTTGGGGTCTCTCATGAAGTTGTAGTCAGATGGCAGCTGGAACTGTAGTCATATGAAGACTCAAGTAGGGCAGTGGAAAGACTTGGCTTCTTTCTCCATGTAGTCTCAGGGCCCCTTTGCTCCACATGTCCTCTCTAGCTAGGTGGCTGAACTTCTTACACAGTTGCTTAGAGCTTCCAAAATTACACAAGTGGAAGCTGGCAGGAACTGGCATAGCATCACTTCTGCACTCTGTTGGTTAAAGCAATTCACAGTGTCAGCCTGGAATCAGTGTGGGAGGGGAAAACACAAGGTCATGAATACTAGGAAGTAGACTTTGGAGGCGAGCAAGTGCTATGGGAACACCCAGGGGAGGCCCATAACCTAGGCATGGAAGTCAGGAAGACTTCCTGGAAGCAGCAATGCTAAACTAACCTTAATGATGAGGCCTGGGAACTAACCAGGTGAAGGAGAGGAAAAGAAAGCCCAGTTCAGGCAGGGGACACAGCTGATACAAAGATCCAGGGAGGAAAAGAAAGCACAATTTAAGATCAGTGTAGCTGGAGCTGAGGGTGAGGCAGGAAGTGATGGTGATGGGGTAGTGATAGGCCTTAGTATGGAGAGGTAAATGGAGCAAGATCATAACACCTTGCAAGCCCCCAAGATATTTGGACTCTGTCCTGAAGGTGTGGGTTTTGGTAGGGGAGTGACCAGGCCACAGGGATCTAAGAAAGGCTGTTGACTGCTGTGTAGGAATGGATTAGAGGGGGTCAATCTCTCATTTTCACCCTGTCCCCTCTAGGCCAGTGACCTCACCTTCAGCACTGAGAAACCTGAGTCATCACCTCATCTCCTCAGCACTGATACTAGCTCTTTTTGCTTTTGCTTTCTATTAGTGGATATATATATATATATATATTTTTTTTTTTTTTTTTTTTTGAGATGGAGTCTTGCTCTGTCACCCAGGCTGGAGTGTGGTGGTGCAATCTTGGCTCATGGTAACCTCCGCCTCCTGGGTTCAAGCAGTTCTTCTGCCTCGGCCTCCTGAGTAGTTGGGATCACAGGCCTGTGCCACTATGCCTGGCTAATTTTTGTATTTTTAGTAGAGATGGAGTTTTTCCATGTTGGCCAGGCTGGTCTCAAACTCCTGACCTCAGGAGCGGAGGTCTGATCAAAGTGTTGAGATTACAGACGTGAGCCACCCAGCTGGGGTTTTTAATATAAAAGAGTGCAAATGGCTGGGTGTGGTGGTTCATGCCTGTAATCCCAGCACTTTGGGAGGCTGAGGCAGGCAGATCACTTGAGGTCAGTAGTTTGAGACCAGCCTGGCCAACATAGTGAAACCCTGTCTCTACTAAAAATACAAAAATTAGCCAGGTGTGGTGATAGATGCCTGTAATCCCAGCTACTTGGGAAGCTGAGGCAGGAGAATAGCTTGAATCCAGGAGGTGAAGGCAGTGAGCCAAGATCGTACCACGCACTCCAGCCTAAGTGACAGAGCAAGACTCTGTCTCAAAAAAAAAAAAAAAAAAAAAAAAGACAAATTCGTTTATACAAATATTTTTGTTTTGTTTAATTTCTTTTTAAAGAACATAGCAGAAAACCTACCTGGTAGGAATCTGGATGTGGGGTTCGTCAGAGGTCAATTTATACTTGAGAGCGTTGTATATTAAGGAACAGCCCACTGGCAGGGAGTATAGAGCAAGCCAAGCTCAGTGAATTTGACCCCCCAGATAAATAATGGTTGTTGAAAAGCTCTTACTCTAGTAAAAAGTCATATAATACTAAAGGCTTATATCAAAAGACAGCAGACTTCTGCACACGCTCTCTACCCTCTAATCCTACTCTCTAGAGGCAATTATTCTGTACTCCGTGAAGTGTCAGGAAGCAGCGCATGAGAGCGGGGATTCTAGAATTGAATTGTCTAACATCCAACACAGCTGTCTCCCTTACCAGCTGGGTTACCTTGGTCAAGTTCATTATAATATCTTTTCCCTCAGTTTCTTCGTCTGTATGATGGGAATGATAATTGTACTCTTCTTATGAGATGACACAGTTAAACTGCTGGGCACATGGTCTGTAAATGGTAACTATATATGATGATGACGAAGAAAAATCTAACTTGAGAGCAACTGTGAGTACACTTGGACGTTAGCTGCACACTGAACAAATAAATATAAGGCGTGTTTATCATTTGGCGGAAATGACAAGAATACAGACTCAGTTGGAGAGGTCTGTCTCTTCCCTTTGTTCTAAGGCTAAACTCTGTGTTTGTTCTCAGTCCCATTCCCTTCCTGTCCCTTTTAGAACCTTGTCTCTATAATTATCCTGACCCTTATGCCAAAACATACATCTTCCTCCTACCTTTTTTCTTTCTGCCTGTGAAATATGTACAGGCCTTTCCAGTCTTGGGGGAAAAATCCTTTACTTGATCCTCCTGCCCTTTTCAGCTACCATTCTGTTTCTTTTTCCCTACTGCCAGATTTCTTAATTAAGTAAAACACATGCTGCCTCCCATTTCTGCATGACTCCTTCACTTTTCAGCCTTGTCTCCCAGCTTCTATCCCTGTTCTTCTGAAATAGGGGTCACTAGGGTCATCAAAGACCACCTCATTAACTACCAGTGGACCTTTGCTCAGTCGGACTCTTGACCCAGAGCACTTGACTCAGTTGGCCATCCGTGCCTTAAATCTTACACACAACCTCATTGTCCACTTCCATTTTTCTGGCTATTGTGTACTTTCCCCAAGCCACCCAGGAAAGGAATCTTGAACTCATTGTAGGCTCAACTCTTCCTTCTCTGCCCTCCCCAATACTAGTTTTATTTTTGCTTTCTTTCCTCTGGTTCAGGTTTTCTCATGACCCCACACTAGTTTTGACTCTTTCTGCAAGTATTAGAAACTCACTGAAGCTAGCTTTTGAAAAAGTTTTATCAGGGTATGGAAGAGTAGCCAGGACATCTAATGGATCCCAAGGGCAGGAGACAGCTGGGACCCAGAAAAGACCAGAATTATAGACTCAGGAGGCAACAAAGTGAGCCCTTTCTCTCTGACTTTCTTTCTGGGTTTCTCATGATCTGTCCAGTTACCCCAAAGGGGTCAGACACTTCCATACCCAGCTAGTCACTGGGTCCTGTGAAAATTGCCTTCTTTTGCATCAGGCCCTTTCAACTGTCTCCTCTCCAGCTTCCCTGGTCCTACGTCTCTCTTGTTCGTTTATCTCCTAACCATTCTCCTGTATCTGGCAGTGCTGCTTCTTCCTTCTGACCCCTAGTACCAGCATCATCCACGTGTCCATTCTTTCCCTGTTGCTCTTAAACTCCCTCTGTGCTGTTGACTTTTAAATGAGAATACAGTGGTTAAGAGCTTGGGTTCTGGAATCCTAATAATCCTGGTTTGAATCCTCCACCACTTTGTCGGTTGTGTGAACTTTGGAAAGTTACTTGAATTTTTTTGAGCCTCACTTCCTTATCTGTGAAATGGAGCACATGTAAAGCTTAGTTAGCACAGTGCCTGGCACACAGAGCCCAAAACGGTAACAATCATTAGCCTTACCTTTGCCCTCTTTCCTGAGTTCCAGTCCAGACCTCCACAACCTGCTAGGTTTATCCATTGCCTGTCCTGCTGTGACCTCAGATCCACCTGTCGGAATTCCCCAGATGCTGGTGGATGATGCAGCTTTCTGACAGCTAGAGGGCAGGGAGATTTGAAAAAGGCAGGTGGTCTCACCACATTCTCAAAGGAACCCCACACCTGACCTTGCCAAGCCTCAGCAGAGAAGGCTCTGAAGAACAGCTCTCCCAGAAGCCTCCAAGCCCTGTGCTGGCTGACTTTTAAGTTCTAGGAGGGCAAGCAGAGCTGCCATTATGAGGGCAAACGGAGGATGTGAACTTAACCTTTAAAAAAAAGCCCCAGGTGGTGAGAGGAGGTGTAGCAGATCAGTGGAGCTTGGAAGTGGGTGAGAGCAACACCCTCAGGGCGTTGAGCTGGGTTTAGGCTGGGGCCTCCCTCAAGCACTGGGGATTTGGCAGCAGGGAAGCCAGAGATGCTCCTGTTTTTAGCTGAGCAATTGTAGGTCCCCTTTGCCGCCCTTGTGAACATTCCTCATTAAGCGCCACGTGTGAAACAGGGTGGTTGCTTTCCCCGCCCCTCCTCCCGGCTCTCTCTACCTCCTCTCTGCTCCTGGATGGTGGCAGGTGGCAGTCCTACTGGCAGGAACCCAGGAGGGGCAGGGCTGCACTCTACCCAGCACAGAACTGGAATCATGAGGATGGGAGGTGGGTAATCTCACAGTGGTTTTCTCAAGGCAGCGTCACCAAGTAGTTCAGAGCTCTGGCTCTGAATCAGAATGTGTGTGCACCTGTTTGAATCTTGCTTCTGCTTTTACTCTTTTTGTGATACTAGGCAAGTTGTTTAAATTCTTTATGTCTCATCTGTATAATGGGATGATAATAGGCCTCTCTAATAGTTGTGAGTTTTAGTAATGCAGGTAAAGCACTCGGCTTAGTCCGTCTATGCAACTTGGAGCCAAGGGTTCTGTCCTTGTAGGAACGACCACCCCCATTGCTGTCTTTGTCTTCTGTTCACATATCCATCTCTGCCTTTGTACTACAGGCTCCACTGAGTCAGAGACTGAATTGTGAGTCTGTGTCTCTGGTGCCCAACACAGGACCTAGCATATAGAAGATCTTAATAAATGAATGTTTACTGTTGGAAGGAACTGGTGGAACAATGTAGAAGATCCAGGATTCCCTCTGGCCTGAGTTCCACTGTCCACTCTGGGTCATTTACCACAAATGGAGAACCCAGGCCAGTCACTGTCCTAGGGGCCTGAGGAAACAGCCATGAACGCGATAGGCTGGGCTCCTGACCTCATGGAGTGAATTGTCCAGGGGGTGTTGGACAGGAAACATAACAAAACTGATGCTATATTTCAATTAGGAAGGTTGCTAGGAAGGAGAAGCTGGGCTGCTATGAGAGCACAGAGCAGAGAAACTATATTTTGGGCAGAAAGGAATCAGGAAGAGTTTCCTAGACAATGTGACAAGTAACTGAGGCCCAAAGAAAGGGCAGGCTGGGTTGAAGAAAAGGTGGGATGGAGCCATCGAGGCAGAGGGGAGAGCAGATGCAAAGGTCCTGAGGCAGATAGGAACTAGGCTGCTGGGTGGAAGTCAAGGTTAATGCAGCTGTAACCCAGTGATGGAAGGGGTCCGTGACCTCTCCAAGGCTGCAGAGCTAGGAGCATGGGTTATAAGAGCCTTGTAGGCTATGATGAGAATTTGAGCCTTTATCCCTGATATTAAATTTATCCCCGATATTAACATTTATTAAATTTTATGTATATGTGCACTGTGTTAAGTATCTCGCATGTTTTCTCATTTACTTTTCACAGCTTCCCCATGAGACTGGTGCTATTATTCCCATTTTACAGATGATGAAACGCTGGCTCTGGGAGGTAAATTTGTTCAAGGTCACATACTTAGCGGTAGCAGAGTTGATTTTGGACCCAGATATCAGGATCCAGTCACTGCCCCTTTAGGCCCCACGTGGCCCAGCTTAAGAGCTAAGTGTGAACTTGGAGCTGCACTACACATTCCTCAAGGCCTAGGGTTCCTCTTTCGCAGCCCCTCTTCCCCCCGATTGGGGAAGACAGGCACAGGTTCGCCCTGACCAGAGGAGCGCCCAGGAGGCAGGTTTTACTGCCTGAGGAGGCGGCCCCAGGATTGCCCGGGGCCGGGCCGCACCCACGTGACGGCTCCGCGACTGAGCCGCCAAGCACCGCCGCAGTGCGGTGGGCGCAGGCGTGTGCGCGCTCCTGCTGCTGCAGCGGCTGTGAAATCTGGAGGGAACCGACCCCAAACAGCGGCCGGGGGCCTGGGGGGGAGGGCGCCACTCCGCGCCCGGCAGGGGGCTCTCTCCCCCCGCAATCCCAGGGCTAAGCCCGCAGCCCCGCTGCCTGCATCACGTTCCCTCCAGCCTTGGGGGAAAAGCAGCGTTCGTTTCTGATTAAAAATGACTATTTTTAATGGGCTTCATTCTTTATTTCTTGCTGTCCTCTCCCAGGGCCAGAAAGAGGCGGAAAGCGACACTGAGAATCCATTCCAAACGAGCAGCCAAGAGGAGACGCGGCAGCTCCCAGATGTTGATGTTTTGTTTTTTGACATAAATCTTTGCACTCGTATGGGAGTTTTCATTGATTCATGTTCCCATCTGCTGAATTTCCTTTTATTTATTTAATATGGCTTTGGGGGGAAGTTTTGCTCCGAGGCTCTGGAGGAACATAAACTGTGACAACAGTTGCACACCCCCACCCATCCCCAAAAACTTTGGTTGCCGAGGGAGGGAAATTTCAGTGGCATCCTGCGCTCATACTCTCCTCTTGGAGGCAAGCGCTCAAGGCCTGCATTTACGTGACTATTCTACTTGGGGCCTGCTCAAGGTTGTAAACCCAAGAAAGAAACAGCATCAGAGAGCTGGGGGGCGTTGAGTCTATTCCTCATCCTTCCTGCCCACCCACAATACCGTGTTTCCTTCATGCTAAAACACACGTACTCTCTTTTAACAACTCAGAAATCAGGAAATATCTAACAGTGGATGTCAGTATTAAGTGTGTTAAGATTATATCCTTCTCCCTCCATTTATCCTGCACAGCCCCATCCACTAGTGATTCTTAGCAATGAAGAATTCCAGCTCTGGAGTCAGACTGCCTGGGCTTGAATCCTGACTTGCTTTCTATAATGAATTCTTGAGCAAGCTAACTGCTCTGAGCCTGGATTCCTCATCGGCAAAATGAGGATAATAGCTGTCTCTCAGATATAGGTACATTTTACCGATGAGGAAACTGAGGCTGAGAGTAATTAAGAGATTTTCCCAACTAGGGCAGAGCTAGGAACACCTCCTAGGTCTTTCTGATCCTCACCCTATCCCACCACCTCTTCTGTGCCCACAATCTCCTGTGTATATCACATCCAGTCCAGCCTTCTCTGCATGTACCACATGGGACTGTCTTTGCAGGACAGGATATGGCTGGACTCTATAAATTGGTTCTAAGCTTACCCTATGGGTGCAGATGCCCTTAACCCTTCAACTATGTATGCCCTTTTATTGGAATTTCTATGCATGGTAAATAGGCATGATGCCTTTGCATGTGCTTAGTATCTTAAGGGAAGTAAGCCCTCAAAATATGTTTATTTAAGAAAATTTGAGGCTGGGTGCAGTGGCTCACGCCTGTAATCCCAGCACTTTAGGAGGCAAAGGCAGGTGGATCACTTGAGCTCAGGAGTTTGAGGCCGGCCTGGCCAACATGGTGAAACCCTGCCTCTACTAAAAATACAAAAACATTAGCCAGGTGTGGTGGCACACGCCTGTAATCCCAGCTACTCTGGAGGCTGAGGCCAGAGAATTGCTTGAACCCAGGAGACAGAGGTTGCAGTGCACTGAGATCGCACCACTGCACTCTAGCCTGGTGACAGAGTGAGACCCCATTTCAAAAGAAAAAAACAGTTGATGGTGTAAGAAGGCATTTCTGTTCTCATTGCCCCAAACCACATAGAATGAAATTATTGCCTTCTTGAAGTAAAGCCTACTCATTGGTTCCATGATTTATCATTGACGTTGCCACGAGATAGAAAAGAAGCAGAAATTATTAATCGAATTAAGCAGGAAAGAAATAACTCCAGAAATAATGGGAGGTGGGTGAGAAAAATGGCTAATTATCCACCAACATCTATTCTCCCCTTCTTCCATGGCATTAGAATTTAGGTGGGATGTGGCTGTCCAGCCAGGGTCTACATTTTCTAGCCTTTCACAGAGATAAGAGTAAGTTAAAAGAAAAAAAAAAAAAAGCTCAAAAAAATATGTACAGTATGATCCCATTCACTTATATTTCAAACTGCATACATGGGTAACAAAACCATGAAGAAAGGAAGGGGATAGTTTTACAGATATATATGTAATAGATATGTATTAATATAGGTTTATTAATATAGGCTCATATACATGTTTTAGACATCCTCTGTATATATGTTATATTTCACAATTACCTTTTTAAGATGTTACTTACTTGGCTGGGTCGCGTGGTGGCTCGCCCCTATAATCCCAGCACTTTAGGAGGCTGAGGCAGGTGATTAACCTGAGGTCAGGAGTTTGAGATCGGCCTGGCCAATATGGTGAAACCCCACCTCTACTAAAAATACAAAAAATTGCTGGGTGTGGTGGCACGCATCTGTAAATCCCAGCTACTTGGGAGGCTGAGGCAGGCGAATAGCTTGAACCTGGGAGACAGAAGCTGCAGTGAGCTGAGATCTGCCATTGCACTCCACCCTGGGCAACAAGAGTGAAACTCTGTCTCAAAAAAAAAAGAAAAAAATTACCTGATAGGGTTGTGTGGGAACCGAATGAGGTGATGCATGTAAGGCTCTAAGCTCCACTGCCTAGTGCATTGTAGGTACTCAAAGGAAGCAACTTTTTTCATTTATTATTTTTTACTATTAAAATTATTTATTTATTTTAGAGATAGGATCTCACTCTGTCACCCAGGCTGGAGTGAAGTGGCATGATGATAGCTCACTGCAGACTTGAACTCCTGGGCTCAAGAAATTCTCCCTCCTAAGACTTCATAGTAGCTGGGACTATAGGCACGTGCCTCTTCCCCTGGCTGGCAGTAACTTTTCATGTTGAGGGAAGGATTTGAGGCCTTGGGGAAGGCCATATAATTAGCCAATGATAAGGTTTTTAAAAGATCCTACTTTTTTCTATGAAAGACATTGACTCCTCCCATATATATATATATATACACATATATAATTGATATCAAAAAATCAATTTTTGAGACTCTTCAAAAAATAGGAAATATATAATAAGAAATATATATATATTTCTTTTTTCTGATGTCTTTTTTTTTTTTTTTGAGAAAAAGTTTCACTGTGTTGCCCAGGCTGGAGTGCAGTAGTATGATCTCCACTCATTGGAACCACTGCCTCCCGGGTTCAAGCAATTATCTTGCCTCTGCCTCCCTAGCAGCTGGGATTACAGGCATGAGCTACCACTCCTGGCTAATTTTTTTTGTATTTTTATTAGAGATGGGTTTCACCATATTGGCCAGGCTGGTCTTGAACTCCTGACCTCAGGTGATCCACCTGCCTCAGCCTCCCAAAGTGCTGAGATTACAGGGGTGAGCCACTGTGCCCAGCCGACTTTCTATATTTATGTATGTAAGTGTGTGTGTATGGAGGTGGTGAGTATTGATGTTAATTGGTGTTAATTGATGGTCACGAACTTAGTGAATACTTGAAAAACTTCACCCTTCCCTTCAGAGAAGACACAGAGGAGAAAAGGAAAATTGCTTGACTTGAGGAAGCCTGGATAAAAAGAGGTAAGAGCAGTGAGGATACAATTATATTTGCACTGGCTCCATATGAGAGGCTCAGGCAGGAGGCTCCATCACCTGGATGTTCCACCTACACCCTTTTGGCTGTATCATGCTCCCTGTAGTGTGGATGAGGCCTCAGAAGTCAGCACAGACAACAGTGGGATGGCCCAGACCCAGCTCAGCGATGCTGAAGGAAGCTATTCTGCTGACTGTGTCTCTAAGGGACCGCGGCAGTAGCCAAGAGTGAGAACAGTCACCCAGCCAGAAGGCACTGGGATCAGCCAGGGACACCAGGAAAATCTGGCCAGTCTTCCAGCCAGGCCATGCCAACAGACCTGTGCACCTCTGGATGCCACACCCCAGGGTCTCAGAGCCAAGACTACTCTGCTCAGTCTTGGCCATGAGTTCCTAGAGGTTCCTCCCAACGGGGAGCCCTGTTTGGGGCCATGGGGAAGGTCTTGTTTCCCTAGCATAGTTTGCTGATTTCCATACTATTGGCTGATAACAGTTTGTCATGCAATGGAAGCCACAGGGAGAAGGGGGTTTAAATGTTGGTCCCACTACTGACTGTGGATTCTTGGACTAGAGACTCCTTAAGATTTTTCCCTTCTGGGTCCAAAGTGGCTCCCGCCGGAGGTCATGGCGCTCGCGAAGGCGAGGTCGTCAGTTCAAGGCTAACCTGAGCAACTTCATAAGCTCAAACTGATTGGCAAAAAAAAAAAAAAAAAAAGATTTTTCCCTTCTACTCTGATCCCTTCTAGTTAATCCAAATCAGTCATTCAATTCACTCTATATCAGGCAGGCTGTGGTGGCTCACACCTGTAATCCCAGCACTTTGGGAGGCCAACATGGGTGGATCACTTGAGGTCAGGTGTTTAGGACCAGCCTGGCCAACATGGTGAAACCCCGCCTCTACCAAAAAATACAAAAATTAGCCAGGTGTGTTGACCCACACCTGTAATCCCAGCTGCTTGGGAGGTTGAGTCAGGAGAATCACTTAAACCTGGAGGCAAGGTTGTAGTGAGCTGAGATTATACCACTGCACTCCAGCCTGGATCACAGAGCAAGACTGTCTCAAAAAAAAAAAAGAAAAATCACCCTATATCTGCTGCCCATGTGTAATGTCAAGGTGCTTTTTCTTTCTTTCTTTCTTTCTTTCTTTCTTTCTTTCTTTCTTTCTTTCTTTCTTTCTTTCTTTCTTTCTTTCTTTCTTTTTTTTTGAGACAGAGTCTTACTCTCTCATCCAGGCTGGAGTGCCTGTGACACAATCTCAGCTCACTACAGCGTCAACCTCCCAGACTCAATCAATCCTTCCTCATCCTCCCAGGTAGTTGGGACTACAAGCACATGCACCACCACCCCAAGCTAATTTTTTAATTTTTTTAAATGGTATTTTGCCATGTTGCCCAGGCCTTGGCCTCCCAAAGTGCTGGGATTACAGGATGAGCTACCATGCCCAACCTCAAGGCGCTTTTTCCAAATGCTGGCATGATGATGAAGAAGGAAGACATGGGTCCAGCCCTCATGGAGTTTACAGTCTATGGGAAAAGAGGTGCAGGACAAGCCATTACAATTAAGATGTACTTTACAAAAAGTAAAAGGCTCAGGGATCTATGGAAGAGAATCACTTGGAAGCTTAACATTGTTTAGCAATGTTTCTCAAAATATGGTCCTTGGACCACCTGCATCAGTGGTACCTGAGGTACTTGTTAAATATTCAGGTCCTGGGCATTATGCCAGATATACTGAGTCCAAAGCTCTGAATGTGGGGCCTAAGGAATTTGATTTTTTTTTTAATTGAGGTAAGG